ATTAATTCAACTGCATACAAATCAATGTTTTAGCGTGCATATCCCCAGTGCAAGATACATGTACATGGTTTTAAAAGCTTATGTGTTCAAGCAATTATCTATATATCATTTTAAAATCAAATGTCGGCTGGTCATAAATTAATGTTTATGCCTTTATACACTGACTTTAAAAGACGTGTTTTTTGTAGTTATTAGTCAATTTAGGCAGATTTTGAAAATGTTTTTGTTGTAGACCCAAGATTCAATAGTTCAAACATTGTCGCCATATGTTTGCAGTTTCGATCCCATTTCAAATATAATTATAAAATTAACTTGGATGACAGCAATTTAAATTTTAAAGCACTATCAATTTCATTTCTACAACTTACTCTAAAAATATTAGTTTAATGTTTATTTTCATCTGTTAAGGTAATCTGGGTCTTCTGTAAAATAAAATAATTATTTTAAATCAATTTCAACTTTGTGCATACTATAAGTTAAAGTGCATTTACATCCTCAGTATTCTGCACCTTGCCATTCAAATTCAATGACATTTATGATCTCTAAAATCCGGTTTTTTTGTGGTAATTGTGTTTCCAATTTATCCGATGATAATTTTAAACATCTGATGTTAAATGTTAAGTTTCATTTTGCGATATTGACATTCCATGTGTATTTTGATCGAACCACGCAGAACATTACCACATAGTGCCGTAAAATTTCTAGTCATTACAGCGGCGTTTTAAACTTTTGAAAATTAATATTTTAAAACCATATCTCAGGAGCATCCAATATGTTGTTAAAAATATATTTCATCAATAAAATTTTATATATAGTTAAAACTACATCACCAATTATTCCTACAAACAGTGTTTATGTGTGATATATTTATACATGATATATTTATTTTTGAAATAAAGGATAATTCTGGCATCTTGTCGCAGAGCAATGAACAACGATCAACGCTTCCCTATGTTAAAAAAGACATGGTCGTAAAGTAAGTTATAAAAGAATATATATAATATATGTGCCAGATTATAAATCCTTAATACTCACAAATATATATTCATTCGAAAAACAGTTAAAATATGAGTTACTACCATTCCAATATGTCAATGTCTCCCTCCATGTTACCTCTGTAGAAACTACAGATTGTGGTCAGAAAGAGTCCACGTGGGGAAACAACAGGACATAAGACAGGATACCTATTACTGAAACACCTATAATATTGGATGCTGAACCCAGAGAACAACACTATCAATTCGTGGAGGCTATGTAAAAAAAAGCTATAGAGCAACTCTGAGCAGAAACGAAAGATCAAACCCGTCTTGGCGTATATTCGTTGCTTTTGAGGCAGTAATATAGAGAGAGAAGACAGGGAGCTAATTGGGATATCGCCTCCTCTCCTGGGGAAGACATCGTTGAGACGTTAAAATATTGAAGTGGTAATTATTCGTATTTATTCGGTGGTTTCAAGAATAGTTTATGGTAACTTTGAATGCATAACACAGCCGGTAAAACCATTAGCTTTATACAAACAGATGTCAATAATATGTATAACCTATGGATACTGAAATATCGGAGTGCAAAAAGCAACTCTGATTCTAACTGTTGTTTCGATGAATCTGCTACTGAAACTGAGCGTATTCCACACGTGATGGAATCATTAAGTCGTAAACAGTAAAAGTTAATTATTTCACGGTGCATGGGAACAATCTTAACGTCAACCATATATCGCATTTTATCAACGTAATGCATTTCTAAAAAAGATGTAATGTAGATATATTGTACGGAACACATCATTTCCTAAATACTGAGGACGGGTGCAAACCTTGCTTTCTTGCTTTCTTTAACTAATTTACGACAACCACAAGTTGACGAAATGTGCAAGTCTGCCATTGAAGGAAATAAATACTGAGTAGAGGTCCGATTTCTGGTATCTTCAGAATAACTACAAGCCACTTAAAAAGCACTTGTTTATCACAAAAAGGCTTTGAGGACAGCAACTTTGTTACACAAGACCATTAGCAGCCACTTCGACAGATGTACACCATGGACTATTGCCTAAATATTAAACCTCAGCATTTTACCTAAGTCCGCACAGACTAATGTACACAATGTACTCCAGTATATTCACCGACACACATATCTGTTTAGACGGGCCTCGCGCCTTCAGGATTTTAATTGCGTGATATGTAAACCAGAGAGGCAAACAGTTTCTTTAGAATTTCCTACCAAACCGTGAATACTGTACGACAAACTGCGATAACGCTGAAGTGGATTAGTCTCGATTTTTGGCCAGAGTAATCCCCAGACCTTGTATTTCAGTGTCACAGCCAGTCATGATTTACATATAAATAAGAAAGTGGTCAAACAGTAGCTGTTTCCTGTCACAATATTATCTTACGAGGATAAGTTACTGCGAGGGCCAGGTGTGGAAGTATACTACCTTTGAATGTTCTATGGAAGTTTAGTCTTTGACTCAAAACACTTTCTTTCTCAAATACAAAAAAATAAGACATTTTGCAGTAAAATATTGTGGAGTAAATGCCGTCTTTACGATCTATGAATGTGACAAAAAGCATCAAACATTGCAATATTTTGCCACGTGTACTGGTCAAAAAAAGTCATATAACTTGCAAAATTTTTTGAGAATTAGATGAGAATCATTATCAATTAGAATTTTACGTCTTGGCACATGTTGAATTTCAGTTAAGACGCCAGTGTTGACAGGAGGAATACCATCAAATTATCACGCATGTCTCAACAATCAGAAATTGTTTTTATACAATTATTCTGTTTTCATATTTTGCACGCTGTATTGGGGTTACAAGTAATACCTCACAAAACACATTATACTTCTACGTAACCTGAACCTACTGGATTAAAAGTTTGTGATTCATTCAAAGACGAACGTTTTCATAATACTGGGATACTTTTAATTCACGTCACATTCATTTGCCATATCTCTATAATCTGACAAGTTATCTTTGTATTTATATTGTTATCGATGTCTGAACAAACGCGGAATACCAGATATAAAACATTAACAAGCAACTTGCAAATAACTCCCGTTGTACAAGTGCTTGATCCATGAAAATGCCCCATGAATTAATACAGCAAGATATACGATTCAACAAGAAAAGAACGGTGTTGTGGCAAAAATGAAATTTGTTATTGATTTGACTTACGTTGATTAACGAAACGGAGGGATATTTCAAAACTTTCCCCTGATATTTCCTGTAAACTTCATTAAATGCAAAACTTTGCTTTCACTACTTTTTTCTGCGATGTTTAAAGTATAAAAGTACAACTGTAAACTTATCTAAAAAAAAAAACAATGTGTTTTGTCCTCTTAGTTGTCTACATAATTTTAAATAGATAATCTTAAATATTATAATGGTATCATGGAGTGCGTATTATCCAAAAACCTGACAAAATTGATCAGAAATCAATAAGATGTGAAATTTAAAACAATACACTGACGAAGTTAATAAATTAATTGAAATATGAATATTTGACATATAAGTTCATATATATATAATTAAAAATTTTAACAGAAAAACCCCTGATGAATATTGTAGAGATTTTTAATAAAAAGTCCATTAATTTAAACTAAGCCAGTTTTACTTTCTTAGGAATACCTTATTGCAACAGTAAAACATTTAATTCCATTGTATATTTTTATATGTCAAAGTTAAATATTGATCAGCTATCAAAATGTACACCTAATTACCGTGTGGACGTTCAGGTAGATTCTGAAGCGGTTCTTATTAAAATATAGATATCTTCTATCTATATGTACAGTATTGTTTGAAACTTTAAATTAGGCATAACTAAAATCCCATTCCAAAGAAAAATATGTTCCACAAAATTCGTTCGAAATAAACGGCAATACGTGTAACAAGGGGAGACGTTGTATACGGGGTGTAATATATACCTATATGTATGTGCCTATGTCTACTGTTGTTCTTATTCAAAATTATATAAACGTCAAATATACGACAAAGATTTTATTTAACATTAAGCTAGTTTTGAACTCAAATTGCCCCCCGAGACTTATACCGAAAATACCGGTTCCTGAATTTTTTTTGACATTATAAAGCAGGACAAGAATAGAACATGTTATAGCTTTTCAAGCGTCTAATAGCATGATATTATACTTTTATAAGAATATATATTTCTTACAGCGAATTTTTTTTCTGTAGATCATTAACTGGTCTAGAGAAAAAGACTTCCATTAGCCGCACAGTGATGAATAATAAATCTACGCAATTCTTATATATGTATCATTACAATTAATTAGATACTGCGCTATTATTTGCACATGTATTGCGATTAACTAGTAATATTAAATAACAATTTCCTACAAAAACACAAGTTTACCTTTTGCAGCAGAATAATGTTATCTCATGGCGCTAACAGAGAACTCTTATTCAGGATGGAAATGATTAATTTCCTATTGTGTTGGAAAACAATGAATTTTACATTTTAATTCAAGTAATTTTATCTAATGGCACTGACTGAGAACTCGCAATTATAGATCCAATAGTTCATTGCTATGTTTCACAATTTATGTTTTAAAAATTGCCTCGCAAATACTATCGATATTACATTTTCATTAGAATAATTTTGTGGCATGACATAGACCGAATATTCTTAATTAGAGAGGCAAAAACGAAATGATTTTCGTCCAAATTATCGATCTGTTCATTGTCAAATTTTCATAGGAATATTTGAAAGTTTTCCATTTTTGCACTGCAACATTTTTAAAATGACAAGTAGAAAAATTATTAATTTAGTTAATTATGGGCGGTATGGCCCTAACCCACTCGGAAAATATTCCGACACCTTAAGCTTAAGAATTGAGTTTGTCCATTTCATTTGTTTTCAAACGACAGTCTACATTCGAAATTAAAAAATAATATTATAGAAAAGCATCAATACCAACGGCTTACACAAAATTCCCCGATCTATTACAATTTGTTCACACATCTATTCTGAAATATTTTAAAGAGTACCGTATGTGTTCCTACCGGGCCACTGTGCTTTCCACTGAGCCGCGTGGGACTTGGTCGTTTTCATCCAGGGGAACTGCAGTGCGGGCTGTGTGGTTGGGGTGTGGGTGGACCCCACCCCCGTGGACGACGGGGTAGAGGCCGGTGAGAGCTGCGTCTGGCTGTGAGCCGGCGGCGGCTGAGACTGTGGAGATACGGCCACCAGTTGTGACTGCTGGATGTGCGCCGGGATGGGTGACGGCAGGCCACCCCCTAGAGCCTGAGGGGAGAGACTCTGGGCTAGGATATCTTGTTGTATTCCGTGGTCTACCACCGTCATTGCCTGCCCACCGTACCCTCCTCCTTGGTTGATACTCGCAGGTTTGGCGGCGTAGATGCAAGCAGTTGGCCCGCCCAGGGTACTGTAGCTCCCAACCGCCGTCGACGACACCGGGACTCCATAGTTAGCCTCTCTCTGATAAATCGCCTGATTGAAGAAGTGTTGACCGTCCATTTCCTCTCATTAACCTAATGTGATGAAAAATGGCAGACGAGAGCATTATTTTATGGCGGGAATCCATCCATCATTCCCAGGCAGACAACTGCCTGAATAAAAGAAGGTCACGTGATTACGAACTTTTGCAAGATTTAATACAGTCCTTGGACTCCAGAAAGGCACTTTGTTTCCATTAAACCCCAATTACAATGAAAAGTCTGCGATTTTAATTTGTCGTCTGGCAACAGAACAAATCTCTATATTTCAATTAAAAACCACGCTTGCGATCGATTGATTATAAATCAGCCGCCAGTTTCTCACCTGAACGTATAGAGGATAAAGCGCACAAACACCATTGAGGTTAGCGGCGTCTGACAGCTGAGTTGATAGGTACACATAACTATACCGTACTGCTATTGCCTAGTTTACCAAAACCGAGGCATGTGAATGGCGCTGAGTGGATACAGAGAGCGCAATGGCGTGGGAGAAGCTAGGTGAACGGGCAAGGACGCCTTTAAACTGGGCTCAGGTAAAGAGGACGCTATTAGGAATACACGTGGTCATAGTTGTCTCCACTTCCTATTTTTAGAATTTTGATGTGTATGCTGTGAATAAACGGACCACTTCAAATCTGTGTTTGTAATATGTAGATTGTGCACACGTAGTTTTACTACAAAATTTTACAAAAGATTTAGGAAAAATCTGAGTTCTGCCAACGTTATCTATATTTCCGACTTCTTCAATCAAACATTCGACTTTTACATTTCATTAATAAAACTGAAAAGTTATATCAATCACTTATATTTGCACTTAAATTAATAAAAGGCATGTTTACTTCTAGATCGGTCTTTTTGCCAATTGGCAATGTAACACCACGTTGCCATACTATCTAAAAGTGACGTTATGTTTGAGCCAAGTGCTAAGTGTCTATATACCGGTAGGATATGATATAATCATTAACTTTAGATCTGCAATTTTCGTAGAAATATTATGACGCCTGGCCTAGTCGGGTACAGGGATACTGAGATGAGTACAGTTAACCTGCTTAACACGAGCATGTCTCGGCGAGTACAACGTTCAAGTTCATTGACGTTAAAGCAGGTAGTGCAAGGTATTTTGACGAACCTCTAAATGGCCGTAACACTATGAAACAGAACGCTCTGTCCCACCCGCAAGAAGCAACAGAGATCTTAAACCTTTTAGAATAGATTTATAATATCATTCTTCTTAAACTCGTGGTTTTGCTCAATATTTGGGAATCTCTCTCTTAAACCAGACGCTGGTCAACACTAATGAACCAATTAAGTGGACAACGGAATCCCCTATTGTAATCATACCAAGCAACACCTTGTAGCTACTGTAATAATTGTGTTGGTGGGAATACCAATAGCTAGTATGAATTTAGTATTAACCCGTATCATACCACCTACCTTCGGCCTCCGCTTCCTTATCTCGGCATATTGATTGAGATTGAAGTAATTTTTGCAATAGTTTCTGCTACTTAAGTACTTGTTTCTCTTTGACAGTCTCAGGCTACCAAAGAGCAGGCAAAGTTAACAAGATAAGTCAGATAGCGGCGCACAAACCCCGGATACCGTAGACGCGTGGTCAACCGCTCAGTTTATGGGCACGAGGGAAGGTAGCAAGGTGGAGCAAGGGAGGTGGTATTTACTCGTGCTTAAGTTGAAGAATGCACCACTTATCTATCGTGGGTTTGCGTGTGACAGCGACAGAATGGGCTTCCCGTAACTCTTTCACTGTGCGTGAGGAAGGGAGAAGTCGAGCTGTCGTAGCGTGCATGACAAAATTAATTCCCCGATGCCCGGTAGATTTGGCTAACCAATCATATCTTCCTACCATTCATACAGTGATTTGACAAGACTTTTGTTTTGCTGATAACTGTGAAACAACTTGACAAGGTCTTATCGTGATTCGAGTCAAGCGATCTTGGATACACGGTAATGTGCCATGCCGGCTTATCGTCTCTGCTTAGACACAGCAAGCGACCGAGTGAACTCTCTTAAATGTCACCCGCAGTTGTAATAACGCAAAATTGTGAAGGGGGCTGACGAGGTCGGTTTTACACGTACTCCCGAATCCCTACACTTACCAGGGATGTAGATCCTAAATCCTAACATGAAGTCAACAGCACGTATTTGCACAGAGTTATATTTTTCATTTGACCAGCTGACTTTTGCTGCAGCTTGTTTGTAAATGGTGGCGAAATTAGAAGCATTTGAACGTTTTCGCTGAACTGAAAAATTCGAGCATTACCATGCGTTCAAGAACAAGGCGAATATAATAATTTATTTCAACAACCATATTTATTTTGCTTTATCATTCTACCAGCTCCATTGCATAATACTCCGTGTGTTACAAAGGCAACGTCTAACAGATAACAACTGATCCAAAAGTGGCAGGGCCAAACAAACGTCACTCGTACAGAACTGTCCACGTTTTAACTGCCAGAACAGATGCAACTGCATGAAGTAGCTACAAAAATCCTTCAATATAATCTATGATATTACCTCTCGAACATATTTGTATACCACTTCACGGGGTTCAAATTGTTCCACTAATTGGCTTCCGCTACAGTGTCTCTCCTTCAACCGAGCACTTAAAATGACATTAATAATCACAGATTATTTAACCACGTCAGGTTGACAGAATGGCAACAGTACCCGTTTGTCTTAGCCGGTCAGTTGGATTAGCGTTCAGGTCGCAGTGGAGTTGTGACGGGAGATAGTGGATACGAGCATTGGGCGAGAGCGGAGTGATTAATGTTATATCTTCCACTGCGATTGCTCGTCATAATTCGGAATGACAGGCGGTGGTGGAGAAACGCGCACGCTCTACGTTGCTATATAATTTATTATGGGTATGATGTATTGATTGCTGAACAAATAATCACCAGTGATTTATGATTAATGTTGATAATTCATGTCATGTACTTGGATCTGAAATATGATTTATAAGTAACTTTGTCTGTCAAACTACACAAGCCAGAAACTTGATTTTCTTCCCATTTCATTGATTGAGTCTTTGTGGCATAAACATCAGAAAGTGATCATTTTATCATTTCATCAAAAAGAGATGTTTAATTAAAGCACATGTAAATTATTTGAGCTCAAATTAATTTTATCAGGCCAGGTTAATGGATCAAATGATTAAATCCTGTAATAACAAAACGGTTTTGGTCCATCAGCTACATGCAATCTTCACTGATGATTTTTTATGTTTAATTTCGGAGATCAAATTACATATATCTGTCTTTAAACAATGATTGAACTGAGAATTATTTATTCTATTTAAGGGAAATGCTACCACCCAGTCTGAAGGGCACAGGAAACCCTCTACTGATAAGCTGTGGTAGAACCAAAACTCCGAAATGATCGTATTATTTACACGTGGGGATATTATACTAATTTGGGGCATCGATGTCCCTTGTTTTTGTTTACAAATCTGAGTTTGATAAACTTGTAAATCCACGATTTTATAATACAGAGGGCAGTAGAGGATAAAAGGGCAACATAATCACGTGCGATTGTGCGACATAACGGCATTCAATTTCAGGCCCTAAAAAAAAGGGCGGCGCTGGAGTGTGTGTGTGTGTGTGTGTGTGTGTGTGTGTGTGTGTGTGTGTGTGTTTGGGGGGGGGGGGGGCATATGGCATCTACCTTTGGTTAAAGGCATGAATATACATAAAATATATAATGTTTGTTGGTAGCTTGCCATACTTAGCCAGACATTCCTCTTGTCATCGTATCACTGCCCACATAGATACCGTATCTGGTGACATACACCACACTGTTTACTCCAGTACACACCGCAGTGTCAGCTACATGGGGGTTAAGATAATGTCGTGATAACTGGAGAACATTGGGACTGAAAGCTCATCTGGTTCTGCAGAGGAAAAATGTTGAATGAGATGACAAAAGAAAGATGCCAACCGGAAGAAAGTTTTCCGTGATGGATATCTTTCATCCATTTTGTTATTGTTTAAATGGACTATGAAAAAACTGTGGTCGTTTTAAATAGTCTGTACCTAAAATTGAGCTGGGCAACGTTGTTAAATCCCTTTGGGTTGATTTTATTGAACAAATTGATACTCATAGAAATAAATAAAAAGATGCGTGTATTTTTGTTTGAATTTTTCTATCTGTTGTGTTCTTTTAGTTGGAATTTTTGGTACGTGCTTCAGATAAGTGAAAAGTAAGGACTCAGAGATCGCCAGTCAGCCTCAGAACTACCGTAGAATGAGAGTGCGGTGTCTGAATCGTCTGAGCGATAAAGATCGTTGAGTAATTGCAGGAAATGTAGATGTAATTGCTTTTCATTTGACATATAGGTGCATAGTCCTACCTTTCCCATCCATCAATCTATTATCAGAGACTCGAAAAAAAAGATTTAAGAAGATTACAAAATTACTTTGCTCTGTTTCGTCTAAATGAATTATCTGTCAAATAACATACCTGTAAGTTGGTGCTGTTAGAGAACAAAAACTCAAAAGCGGCCGTAAGTTCATTTCAACAACAATGTTCATTATTCGTGACACATCTTCGGTACAGGGGAATGTTTCACTTATTTGGTGCTATAAATTGCTTTCCCCTTGAAATATTGTAGCATAACACGTTTTAAAAAAGCATATTATCCCTCTAGATCTTTCTCGCCTACGACAATCAGTCACCAATCCATTTTCATCACTTCACACATGCTTACATAATCTCTACATAACGGTCCACTTTACAGTGTATATCATATGTAACGATGAGCAAGATTATCTCTGCCCATCACCCATTCAACCTCACCAAATTTATCACGGATGAAACCAGACAGCAAAATAAGTTCATATTCAGGTTGATACACCACGTTTATTCATAGTAAGTGGCATAGAAAACATTTTATACCAAAACCGGTCACAGTTTTTTAAGCGTAATCAGACGACGGCCAGGAATGTCTGAGTCACAGTAGGGAGACACTGTGAGAAAGGTGGGGTGTAAGAGATTTTTGTGCGCCTCCACTAAGAGACTTCTCGGTAAAAATAATGTGTTCGTCTAAATAAAAGCATTTATCTTATCTACATATTATTATTATTATTATTATTTTAAGAACTGATTACTGCACAATGAAACACTCATATCTATAGAGAAGGTTACTTAAAACCAAAATGTTGTAGTAAAAATTAACTGTTTGAGCCGCCATCACCGATCGCGAGAAAAAGATAATTGCATAGATAAAATCGGATATTGAATAAAACGCGTGTTAAAAGTTCGGGGTTGTTCTAATAGTAAGGTGAAAATGAAAACTTTCTTATCATCACAGGGCTTGATATTCGATTATTTTCTATCAATAGATAATAAACGCATCCCGGTCTTCACTGTTCAGCAGGGAATGGTACTGATAGGTTTCCCGAATCACCAACAATAGTCGTTTAGAAAATACGAAACGAGTTCACTTTCAGTTTTCTTTGTGTTTCAATTTTTTTGGCAGGTGTCCGCCTCATCGTCATGTCATTGGTGCCAGAATGTGGTTCTCTAAGTCACCGCCATGCGTCCCATACTGAAGTATCGTCCCGAGGTATTAAAGGTACCCTAGCACGCCCCTAGAGTACAACCTAAATACAAATAAACTGAAGATTAAACTTGCCATGCCTGTCTGGCAAGAAGAAGTAAACATCGCAATCCAATCTCGGACAGTTTGTTGTAACAGGTTTATCTGCAACCACGCACTGAAAAAGAAAAAGATTGTTTGCAGAAATTCCTTTTTATCCGTCCAGTATCGAACTCTTTATAGAATCTAGGGAGAAAGGTTATCATGGCTTCAAGTCGTATTTATGAACGGACCCCCACAGGGGAGTCACGCGTGCTGCTACCTCAAGTGCCACTGATAAAGCCTTAGAGTCGAGATTGCTTGCAAAATTATCATGTGGCGATATATGAGTGGCGTAAGGGCGGCGACATAGGATATAGGGGAAGAGCATATAACATGATGATTGGTTTCTTTGTAGATATCGTACATCGATCTGTTGTCATCAATCTGGATAAGATTGAGGGATGTAAATAAATCATCTGCTGTATATAGGAACAGTTTTCCAATCTTATTTCAAAAGAGATTTGTATTCGAGGGATTTTTATCTGTTTTGAAAAATTACATTTTGTTAAAAATTAATGAATAAATAAATAATAACACATAAATGGTAGGCCTTAACATCTCTTCGCCATAGACGCAATCGATGACATCAACATTTTGTTATTGGAAAATCCAATTAATTTTTAAATCTCTGCAAGCTAGTTAAAATTACTTCGTTATCATGCGGCCATGTGGAAGACTGATGTTTTAAATGATATATTTCCATGAGATATTTCTATCTTTTAAGAGTTCATTTTACCAAAGCGACTGCAAATAATGGGTAACTTTATCTCAAAACGACCATCATCATGGTTTCAATTATGTTCTAACAACAAAATATTATAGATAATGAAAGATACAAATCCTTTAAAAATGCACATGTATACATGTATATGTTCAAAAGTCATGGCCAGAATCAAAACTTTTGTCTTGCAATCTTGTAATAGAAATTGTTGTAGTCCAAACCCCGAGAAGAGCACGTTTACGGTCCAACTTCCCGCGGTGTGAACGCCTCAGGAAAACGTAGGTTTAGCAGTCAGCACAAATGTCGATTAGCGAGATTACATAAAAATAAAATATCATAAATGGAATTAAACCTACCTCTTTCTTTTATTCGATTAAAAAATCACCCTTAACGCGTCTTCCCTGAAGGAACTGACTTCAGTTTAATGCATGAAACTGGACGAAATTTAAACTTGCATCGCTAGGATTGAAGAGTACGGATATCAGCTATGCGAATTCATCGGATCTACAAAGACATGCTGCTGCTCTCATGAAAACTGAATTATTGCTTTACCAATGTTTTTTAGCCTAATTCGATCGTGTTTTTTTTTGTTCATAAATGCACTGTGAATGATTTTTTTTTTTTTTGCATTCCAATTATTTCATTGTGACGTTTTACATAAGCTTATATTTATGTAATAAATGCACATTGATATGAAATGCTTTTTATTTTTGTGGAATTCATTCGTTTATTGTATTTTTCGCACAAAAAGCCTGTACAAGGTCTCTTTCATTTTGTAGCAAATTATTCATTAAAACGGTTTAAATACTCTTACGTACTGCTTATCAAAATAACTACTACAAAATATAGCCTGTTTAAAAATTGCCAGTTCGGCTGCATCTGTTCACGGTAGATAAAGTACTGAAAGGAATAAAATACAATTGAATATAGAGATGCATCATGTTTTTTTAAACAGTTGTCAATATATATAAATGTACATTGCTATGATTTCATATGTGTGTGTGTGTGTGTGTGTGTGTGTGTGTGTGTGTAAGAAGGGGCTTTTCTGAATCTAAACCGTGCCACCTTTACTGACAAATCACAAGTCGTTTTCAGTGCCTTACATAAAAGATTTTGTAAAATGTGATCTTAATGCGCAGAATTTAAAGCCACGTTTAGAATCCTGATAACATGAATATCTTGTATCTTGAATGATAACGCAGACTGATATGTTTCTGCCAGTCGTAACTAACCGAATTTTATATGAATGCCATCGATGCGAATACCTGTTTGGAAATGAGTCCCAGTCATAGACAAGTACATGTATTACGTAATGCAAACATCGCTCGGAAATTATTTTAACTATTTTACTGCTTGGGGCAGGATTTGATTGTCTTTTACCAAGCAAAAAAGCATATAGATAAGATGAAACCGCTATAAATACTCTAAATTAAATGAATAATGAAAAAGAAAAAGAGAAAATAAGACAAAAAAAACTTTTATATGGCACAACATACAAGAAGACAAGTACAGAAAAGCTGCGGACATTACTATGGTAATTATTCGTTTGATATTCATAATTTGAAAACAAGTTTCGTTAAAATCATCCTTGAAAATGAAACATTACTAATGAGCGTTTTGAAAATAGTTAATTTGTCATTTAAGTTATTGCCTTCTGTTTTGTCTTTATTTACAATGTTGCTGCTTGCTTCAGTCACCACTGAAAAATTTCACTTGGGCGGCAGATCAAAATTATGCTTTTACGGTATCATTCATTGTTTTTATACACACGAGCTTTTGTTTTTTTTTAACTAGTTAATTTTCTACATTTCCTTTTAAATATCACTTTTACGTTATATGTTTTATGTTCATACAATTTGTTGTTTAAGTCTAAGTGTTAAGCATTTCACTTAGTAATACAAATTTGCAGCTGCCTCAGTTGTGAAATAATTTCTACACCCGATGATAGGTCTTTTATACTGAAATCGTATCTTAGAGGAAGATAACATAAATGTAGAGTGACACTCCATTAATATTATAGAGGTGTCCAATATTTCCGGGATACCTTTATGTAACTTAAAATGACAAATAAAGGAGAAAAACTTTGAATTGCAGGTTAGTCGTTATTATCTATTCCCTCTTCTAATTGCGTCGAATCTTAAGTTTTAACTTCAAATTATGTCAATCAATAACAAAAAAGATGCAATTCACGTTTTACTTAAAGTAGAAAATTCGGTAAATGAACGTTTTTTTAAGAATAAGGCTTGCTATTTTTTCTGCTGATTTTATCTCTAACCATTTTAAGTTTAGATATAATTATGGGGAATAATTATAATTGAAATCCCTTTAAGACAAGCGAATGATTTTTCATTGCTTATATAATAAATATGAGTCATATTTCTACAGATTCATGTGTGCGTCTTATTCTTTGTGTCCTACATAATGCATTTTCTATTTGTATAACTTCGGTTATACTGCTATACTTTAAGCTTCTTTTACTCCCAAGTAATTTCACTCTAGACGTTTTTAAATTCATGTTGCACTCAACACAAGTTTATATTAAAACATCTTATATGTTCGTAGGTCTTTCACACACAATGATGAACACCGCAAACCGCAATACACAAATACATTTTTTCACAACCACTGATCACTAGTTAGGAAAGTAAAACAATAATTTTTTTAAATGTCAGCATTGGTAGATGTTTTACACTTAATACAGCGTTTTATGCTTTCTCATGAACAACTACAAAAAAGAGTTTAAGTTGCACAGGCGTGTTGTTTGGTATCGTTCGCCAGTTTGTTCCACTCAAGTACCATTCACATTCAAACAGGGCATACTTTTCAAAACAACGTCCATTCCCGCCGTGGATAAGGCAGTGTTTGGCCCTTTTCAAGTAGTAAAAATAAATTTTTTTGAGGTCACTTGGTAAATTGTTTCGGTGATTTTAAGCAGTTTCGTTTTATTTTGATATAAAAGGTGATCTATTGAATTTCAAAAATGATGTTTACTTTTGTGAAAGGAAACTGCGTTCAGATTCATAGTATATAAATTGGCAATTTTTACTCTATGACAAACGTTTCTGAACAACAAACAAGGATGAAAATGGAGAAAAAAGCTTCATAACGTATAATATCAGTATAATATTAATATAAGCATATAAGTTCTGAACGTTATATACCGTTTATAAGAACACCTATATAGCTTCTCATCAATTTCAAAAATAATTAGTTCAAATAAGATATTTAAATTCTTTTGAAAATCCAATGTCCCCGACATGCTGCGGGTCTTCTACTGGCTAAATAATTCATTGGATGGAACTTGGCCGAAACACCATAAAACAATGGCTTACATTTTTGCTGAACGATGATTTATTCGCGTGAAAAATAAATGAAGAAATATCTTGAACATGGCTAATACAAATGTAGCTCATCCAAAAGTTGAAGCGTGAAGACAAAGAAAAGATGATAAAATGGAATTTTGGTACAATATAATTTTATGAACTTTAATGAATTTTCTACGATACTTTTCTCCTACTTACCGCCCATCACTCTTCTGTGTTCCAAACAAAAACGCTCTTTACGTTATTAAGTTTTTTTTTCTTCAGTTTAAAATACAGTGAACGGTTACATGTATTCCGTGCATTTCACTTTGCCTTATAACACATTACTTGAACAAAGGTAGTATTTGAATTATTAAGACAGGATATGGCATGCTATCGAATAATAAACAGAAGCTGTCAAAATAAAAATAGGAAGATTTAAACAAAAATCCAACGAACTCCCTCCTTAGTTTCACCTGCTGGCTCCCTCTCGTTTAGACCTTTTCATTTAGTCAATTGCGCATTTCATTCACATTTATCATAACAAGAAAATCCAAAGATATCTACTTGAGAATATAAATCTGTTTCTCCTGGGACATTCACTATGAACGTATAGGCTAAGGTTAATAAATCCAGTCCTTGTATTTGGGACAAAGTAATTGTAAGATTTTCATCTACTCGAGTTACAGACGCAAAAGTAAAGAAAAAAGGTAACGGGGTTTGTTTATTTACTAAAGTGTCAGAGTTTCATGGTTGCATGAGACCAAACATAAAACAGAGTCGTTAGTCTAACCCATCTTTAATTACGAATAATATCGCCATGAGAGTTTCTATAAATAAGCACGTGATCCTCGATGGAAATGAAATGCAATTAAGTCCTTAACAGCACAATTATAAAATAATAGTGGGTAAACTTGCGTAGGCCAATACAACCGATAAATGCATCATTGTTCGATTCAATATCAATATTAAATGAAATTCGTTTAATTTGGTTGATTGAATTGATTATGGATCGTCTACAGGTGGCGGTCGTGAATAGAACAAATAGAAGCATGTCGCACAGTCCTTGGGTGTATACATTATAAACCTTGAGAATCATCTCTCTAACGCTATCTAGGTATTCTTTTGTCAGACAGAATTATCCACACATGATAAAAAGTCTCAATTCGTCATTTATCTTTTAAATTTTCAATTACGGCGTCTAAATGCGGGATTTCACATTTCGATACAGATGTCAAAAGAGGGTTTGGCTTCGTTAATTAAAATGATGTTTTGTATCACCGTTGGAATCTTGCGTTCGTCCTTGCGAAAAACGTACCTGCATAAATATTCAGACTGCACCAAGCACACACAGGTCACGAAATAAAACTTTAACAGAACTTGAAATGTGTCCACTAGATGTTTAGTCCGTGTTCCAATTATTCATGGCCCTTGTTGATATTGAATGTCCATTGCCTGAACAATTACGTAATTTAGAATATGCAAATCCTTGATGATCAACCTTCCCCGAAATGCCATGACAGTTCGGCGAAGCACTGGTTAACTCTCTTTTAAAGAATCTATTCCTGAGATTTAAATTTTCTTTAACATTTTAATTTTATTTTGTTTTGTTTTATTGAAGAAGAGCATGCATTTATACTAGTATGCATGTCACAGTTAAATGTTTCAATATTTATCAAATGCAAATACAAACAAGACTTTGCTTAATCAAAGCGGTTTTAAAAAGTGGGTTAAAAAATTAATGTAAATTTAACGGCCAATTTTTGCTTTTGAAAGCGACAGTAATCTGGTCATTATGTACTCAAAAACTATCGGGAAAATTGTTTTATTCCATTTTTTGTCCCCCAGTTCCGCCAATATTCATTTTCAAACAACCGTCTCTCTGCAAAAATTTGTCTCATGCCACAGGCTAAATTTCAACTTGTTTGCATAATTATAATCACTTCTCTAGCAAGTTAAATGCGAAATCTTATTTTAGCTCTACTTGTAAGTTTGTTGTTGTCATTTTGAAAATAATACCTGACCTCATCCGCTGAGGACTTTGACTAAGTCAAAGCATCCATGCAGTGGATATCATTTTTGCATATCATAAGCAATGAGCTATACAGTGTGGAAGCGATACGAGCAAAATTGAATCTTAGAAAGTTTGGAAAATGGATAATGGGCAAAGAAAACAATTATAATTAGAAGAAGAAAAAGAAATAGAAGGACAAAACAAAAACTGAAAAAAAAAGAAAATTCAATATAATGATAAAGGAAAAAAAGATAAAGATATAATAAATAAATCAAACCAAAACCGTAGAATAAACATTTATATATTTAAATTTCGTTGGTGATAAGTTTGAGAGTTATTGATAAACGTTTACTTCTTATCAGTTCCATTTTCTATTTAACCTCCATAAGTATAGTGTTCAAATGCTATGAGTGCCTCTGTATTCCCGTGTGATCCACACATGATCTGCAATACAACAATACCACGTCTGTGATTTTTGTCTGATTGCGTTATTTCTCAACCAGAGTGTAGCAACCGCAATCATTACCTGCCAATCCCCTTCCCCCCAAAATAGATCATGTTAATGTTTTTTATACAGACATGTTTTAAATTGTTGCAATGTTTAAATGTAATCTAGTACATTTCAGGTGGAAGTGAACTGGAGTGCTTGATGTGATTTTAGTTCAAGAAAGAAAGCGTAAGGCTTTTCTGACGGACTGAGAGATTTGAAAAGGCAAAATCTCTAATTAAAGGTATCAAAATAAATCTCTTTTTTTTTCAAAAATCTCTAGAGTACAGCTGCATTACCCCCAACTCCCTGCAACATCAAGTGATCTATTGTTATATTGATCATATTTCAGATGAACAGTCAAAGAAAATATCTAAGTTCAGAAACTTTTCTTTGCGCCTTGGTCAAGTCACGACTAATTTATAAACCTTTTAGTGCGATTTTGACCTGAAGATAAGCCTAGGTATAACTTAAGATTTTCAGATGAATCATAAGATTGTTTCAAATAAGTCAACTACTGTCTGCAAATCGTTTCATTATTCAATTCCATTGTGCTGTAATAAATCTACAAAAGCACATTCATAGTTAGCCGTATAGTTTACAACAATTTGTCCCGTGCATTTCACAAACCAAATGAAATCGGCATTGTGATCTCCTTTTCGCAAATAAAATGTTGCTTATCGTCGCAAGGTCCGTCATTCCATTGGTATTGGACCCCTTTGTAGTAAACAAGGCAATGCTCGTTTGGGCTGCTTGGTTCGCCTGGAGCCCAGGCTGTGAATGAAACGATAGGGGAATAGGTGGAAGCCCACACCCAGTAACCTGGCTGAAGGATGTCATGTCCACTTGTCCAGAAGGCCGTACCATCATATGAACCTAAAAATAAACATTGTTTGTTTATTACAGTATATATTACAGTTAACCTAATGTCATCAGTATATGTATATTAAAACCGGTGCTGTTCTCGACTTTTGTAACATTTAGAGCAGCTTCACACATATAATCTTTTTCTTCAGATTCACATTAGTTTTACAAATATACCTATAACTGTTATATGTATGGGTCAACCCTAACGGAAATGGCCCAAATGTCTCAGATAGGAAACCTATAGGTTGTCTGTTAGAACTCTTTTAGAGTCTTAAAGTCCTATAGGGCGTCCTACAGGCAATTTAGTAAGCGACAGACAAAAACTGACCGTCATATTTCAGCAGGTGCCCTCTTATTGCCGTATGCTCTTCTTTCGTCTCCACACTGACCAATTTAGCGCCGAAGGCTTCACAAAAATGGTTACTCTCAATCCACGTTGCGAGGTGGGTGGTGTCAAAGTAGTAACATTTCCCTCCCAATATGGTGAAACCATTGGGGCACAGTGTCCAGTACGATGGTGGTATCTGACGCAGAGCCAGGTTTCCTCGAAGAACTTATGTTGACGAAAAAATACGAAATTATCCTTCGAGCGACACTTAAGCCTTCTGCTAGTGTTTTTCAATTGTTCTCTGATTAAATGATAGCCATTAAACAAATGAATTTAATACAGTTGTAGGTTCATTAACGAAATTCATAGCAGTTCATTTAAAAATGACTTTACTCATTAGAATAAATTGTAATAACGTTAATAAAACGTTTACTTGGCGATGCACTTCCGCTTGTTACCGCTAGGAGGATGCTGAGCAAGACGCACTGCAAAGGTCCTTCAACCGCCATGAATGATATATGTAATCAACAGCCTAAAAACTGACAGAATGGAATAAGCGACCCAAAAGGCTTCTTATATACTCAATGCTGAGTTATAAAAACTCGGTCAAATAGGTTAATCAGCTTCCACTCCTATGGGAAAACTGCAGAAATCTTCCCTTCTGAGATAAGTTCAGTCATGCATAACCCAATTTAACTCTCAGATAAAAATGTATGTTACAAGGAAACAAATTCTCGATTTATCAACACATTCCAAATATGTCTGCTCGAGTTCTTACCCGCAATTCTGGAGAAAGCCACATGACCCCTATTCTCAAACAACTTCACTGGCTACCCATAAAAGCACGGCTTCTTTTAAAACGTTTAGTTTGTGCTCATGCTGCTTTTTAAAACGTGGCCCCACCATATTTATGCAATCTTGTAACGGCTCACCCCGCCAATCACGCACCTCCTACCTTTTAATCTTAATACCGTGTATGGCTAGTGTGGTCTCAACATCTCTATTACTTTTCAATAATTTCATATTTTTGACCAAATACATCCAAAATTAACAATTCTAATGCAGTTCTTGAAAATCTTAAATGTTATAATTTCCAATATGTCTTTCTTAGAATCGCCATTTTAGTATTACGAAAGTAACATCAAACATCTGGTTGCAAATAAATATTATTATTAATATCATTATGATGATGATCTTCCAGGCAACATCTAAGCCACTCAATACTAGAACAGGGATTTTTTTTCCGAATGCATTATTTCTCAACCGGAGCGCAGCAATCGCAATCATTACCAGTCAACCCTTGATATCGCAGTTTAAAATGTTTTATAAATTAAGAATCCGACCCTTCTGTGTGCAGACGCTACTGTCAACTTCCACATATATAGCAAGTAAAATTAAGACAAATATAGCAAGTAGCATAAAGTCATATAAGTGTTATCAAACATACAAACATTCTGACGGACTGAGAGGTATAACATAAGCTAATTAGATGCATCATACATTTCAAACAAGTCAATCACAGTCTGCAAATCGTTTAATTCTTCAACTCCACCAGGCTATAATAAATCTACCAAAGCACATTCATAGTTAGCCGCATAGTTCACAACAGTTTGTCGCGTACATTTCATAAACCAAATGAAATCGGCATTGTGATCTCCTTTTCGCAAATAAAATGTTCTTTTGCATTACACCCGCGGTCATTCCATTCGTATGTGTAGCTGGTCGCTTTGTAGTATTGAAGGCAATGCTCTGTGTCTGGGTGGTTTGGTTCGCCTGGCCCCCAGGCTGTGAATGAACCGATAGGGGAATAGGTGGAAGCCCATACCCAGTGTCCTGACTGAAGGATGTCATGTCCACTCGTCCAGAATCCCAGAGACTTATATGAATCTAAAAATAAATATGGTTTGTTTATTACAGTATATACAGTATTACAGTACACCTAATGTTATCAGTATATGTATATTAAACCCAGTGCTGTCCTCGACTTTTATAACATTTAGAGATTTAGAGCTTCACACATATAATCTTTTTCTTCAGATTCACATTAGTTTTACAAATATACCTATGTCTGTTATGTCTATGGGTCAACCCTAACGGAAATGGCCCAAATGTTTCAGATCGGAAACCTATAGGTCTTAAAGACCTATAGGACGTCCTACAGGCAATTTAGTAAGGAATAGAAAAAATCTGACCTTTATATCTCAGCAGTTGTCCTCTTATTGCCATATGCTCTTCTTTCGTCTCAACACTGACCAATTTAGCGCCGAAGGCTTCACAAAAATGGTTACTCTCAATCCACGTTGAGAGGTGGATGATGTCAAAGTAGTAACATTTCCCTCCCAATATGGTGAAACCATTGGGGCACAGCGTCCACGTTGGTGGTATCTGACGCAGAGCCAGGTTTCCTCGAAGAACTTATGTTGACGAAAAAAAATCCTTTGAGCGATACTTTAGCCTACTGCTGGTGTTTTTCAACTGTTCTCTGATTAAATGATAGCCATTAAACAAATGTAGTTAATAGGTTCATTAACGAAATTCATAGAAGTTAATTTAAAAATGACTTTACTCATTAGAATAAATTGTAATAACGTTAATAAAACGTTTACTTGGCGATGCACTTCCGCTTGTTACCGCTAGGAGGATGCTGAGCAAGACGCACTGCATGGGTCCTTCAACCGCCATGAATGATATATGTAATCAACAGACCAAAAAACTGACTGAATGGAATAAGCGACCCAAAAGGCTTCTTATATAGTCTATGCTGAGTTATAAAAACTGAGTCAAATGGGTTAATCAGCTTCCACTCCTATGGGAAAACAGCAGAAATATTTCCTTCTGAGATAAGTTCAGTCATGAATAACCCAATTTAAGTCTCAGATAAAAATGTATGTTACAAGGAAACAAATTCGCGATTTATCAACACATTCAAAATATCTCTCTACGAGTTCTTAGGCGAACCTGGTGACAGTCACAATACCCCTATTCTCAAACAAAATTACTGGCTACCTATAAGAATAAAGAACACGGATTCTTTAAAAACTTTTAGTTTACTGCTTTTTACAACATGGCCCCACCATATTTATGCGATCTTGCAACAAATTGTACCCCCCCCCCTTCCCGCCGCCCATTATGCACTTCCGACCATTTGATCTTAATATCGTGTATGGCTCGTGGGGCATCTACATCTCATAATTTTGACCAAATATAACCAACTTTCAAAATGTCTTAAAGTTCTTTTTTAAAATATTATTATATTAAAATATCGAATTTCTTAGACTCGCCATTTTTAGTATTATAGACGTAATTTATCCAACATCTGATTGCAAATAATAAATGTTTTTAATATCATTATGATGATGACAATCTACCAGACAACATCTAAGCCACGCAATACTATAGCAGTGATTTTTTCCGAATGCATTATTTCTCAACCAGAGCGCAGCAATCGCAATCATTACCAGTCAACCCTTGATATCACAGTTTAAAATGTTTAATAAATTAAGAATCCGACCCTTCTGTGTGCAGACGCTACTGTCCACTTCCACATATATAGGAAGTAAAATTAAAGAGAAACATAGAAAGAAACATAAAGTCATATAAGCGATATACAACGTAGGCCTACCCGTAGAAAAACATTTAACACCGGCTTTATGTTACTTAGCATTTGTGTGGAAGTAAAAAGCAGCGCTTGCATTCTGAATGACAGGGAATTTAGTTCAAGAAACAAATGGTGGTCCGAGCCTCGGCATATGTCACGGTCAGTACTTGCCTACAAAAGATATATAAAAAGCACAATACTTTTGAAATTGCAGGTAATTTATAGTAAGTCAGAAATGTGAAAATAATATAAAGATGACTTCAATTTTCCACTCATGCACCCATGCGACGTGGTCATTAAAAACCATGTCAACAGAAAGTGTAGAATTACATTGGAAAAAATGATAACGATACGGATAAAGGACGAGTCTTTGCCTGCAGCATTTCTCTCCTGATGTTTAAATTAAGCAGGCGACACCAGATACAGAGACCGACCATTAATGTGAATAATGCAACTGCGTGCGTAACAGGTTTTGATACAGGCAACCATTAATAGGGTGATAGTCATATAATTATTCATATACACTTGACTATTGAAAAATTTTATCGTGTGCATACAGTTGTACTACGATAGTAGTTCCTCAAATATTGATTACAAATTATTCGTTTTTTTTTTTTTTTTTGCATGCATGCATAGGCTCTTGTAGTTATTGAGGTCAATGACGCAGTCCTCTCTATTGTCAACTTCAGGGTTAGTATGGTACATAGAAGAGCTGAAAGCTTGCTCTGAGGCATGTGAAAGTAGGGCATGTCAAAAAATACATGCATAAGTTATTTGAGTTTAGCCACCATGCCCACACACCCGTTCCCCACTTGACCTTGTACAGGTATACGAAACGTCACGAGGACATCAGACGCAGGTGTGTCAAACTGGGGATACTGGGATTTAATCAGGTAACTTCGTACACGTAATGTGTTTTGCTAGTCTAGACTTCAAATGATCTCTGTGCGGCCAGAGTAGAATAGGGGCTAGAATAGTGGTGGAAATAACGCAGAAAGGTAATACAATGTGCACACTACGTGGCGCAACAGTATATTTAGTTTTAATGGCACTCACTACCGAACTAGATAATAGTTATACAGTTATAACCTGCAATTTAATCTAGTTTTATGCACGACTCGGCACTTGTATGATGTCGTGCTGCACACTGACCTAGGAGTTATATTACTACAGGGCTCACCTTAACCTATCGAAGATAAGATGACACACAATCGACTTAAGGTAGACATCGTATTAACTCAATCAAATTAACAACGAAAAGTCAGTCTCTATGTGCATGAAGAGGTGCATGTTGCATATACGTCCTTGGTGAACTCAGTAGAGGTAGTTGCATCTACGTAGATTATATAGCTATAGTGTATGGTTTGTCTGACTACCTGAACACCATGCATCAATATATGTAGTGTAGGACGTAATATGACACCCAATGACAAAAAATATGTTAACTGTTCATGCTTATTTTTTTTCCTTTGATTTACGGGAAGTGGATAAATGTTTACGTAGTAAAAAAAGAATTGACACGTCTTGTCTCAGTGAGTTTTATTAAATCAGTTAGAAGACATAAACAGATAAAGATGAATGCTTGTCATTATATGATGTTAGACTTTGATATTGATATAGAATAGCCCTTGGATCAGGGAAAGACAACAAAGCCATTAGGAGAGATTCATTTATTAATTGAATGCATATCAATTAATGGTAAAAGCCAAATCTCAACGCAGCGTACCCGCAGATTTCTTAGTTAATGGCTGGAACACCTGAGTATATATTAACGTTAATCACTTGTATTGGTTGGTTTGGCTATGTTAAATTTATCTAAAAAGAATCATTTCCAGGCATCCTGCACTCTAGATCTGTATAAAACGCAGACCTACTACAAAATATACTAGTTTATTCTTAAATGATGAATATTTTAGGGGCATTTCGTATGTTATACATTTGGAAAAATTACAGTAATTATAAGTAATTTTGACATTTTGAAGACAACTCTTGCTCGGGTGCGTGCAAGTGTGTGTGTGTGTGTGTGTGTGTGTGTGTGTGTGTGTGTGTGTGTGAAAGAGAGAAAAGAAGGGGGTTTCTTTGGGTGCATTTTACCTGTCTTATGATTCCCAGAGTATAAAAAATGATTTAAATTCGACAGCGTAGAAAACGAGGTACTTATATATTTGGAATATAAATCATAAATATATAAATTTGGAATGATTTTTGCACGCATCTTGTCAACATAAAAGAAATAAATAATATTTCCTGTTACCCAGTCTGTTGATGTCTGTAAGGTGAGAACAGACAATGAATAAGTTGCATAATCTGATTATTATTATAACAATATACATCACCGTGACTACGCCAGCACTAGTACCTGAATGTAATGCATATTAATGAGAGGGGCACTAAATTTGGATTGACGTATCTGCAGAGTGAGAGTAGATAATGGAAAAAAAACAGGGAAACTATAATAAATGAGGGGTCGCTAATGATAAAGAACATTAAAATAAACAGCCGTAAGTTCTGCATAGTTTTTTTTCATTTTTAATGCATCTCTAGTACGATAAAAGTAAACAACGTGAGTGCTCAATGTTTGGCACATAAATGCTTTAATGACTGGACTGCAGTAATATATTCCATGCTAGTGATGCATAAGAACACTAAACACTTGCATTATGGTTGCCAAGAAACTGTTTTCTTTGTGATATCTTGGCGAAAATATTTCTTTTTAGCATAAAAATGATTAATGCTTGTTTAAAACAGTTGTAAAGGACGTCGGAGGTGTTATAACTCAGTATTAAAAAAAAACGTCACATATTAATGTTAAATTGAAATTATTTTCTTGGTGGCATTCAAACTTTTCAGCACTAAAAATAATGCTTAAATGTAATTGCGTGCGCTGCTGATTTAAACGAGCTTGCCTCTGGTAGTTTTGAAATACAATAGCAAAAATACAAAAATGAGCATAAAATGTTGAAATGCTGAATTTTTGTATGTATGTTTAGAAACGGGAGACAAAAAAATAATGGCAGATGAGGGTCTATGTGACAAGCAAAACAAAGAGGGCCTAAAAAAATGGACACATTAATGAAAGCATAAATGTATGCATGAATGGATGAATGAAACGACGAATGAATAGAAAGGAGATTGAATGAATGTTTAAAAAATCACATGGCAATATGAAATTCATTGGTTACAAAAGAGAAGTGTAAATTAACAATGTGGAGATCATAGTGCTTTAAAAATTAAACGTGTATCATTCCGATATTTGAAGTGTTAAAAGCATGATATTAAGTAGATATCAAGAAGCCATTCGAAAATTAAAAAATGTTAAATAAACAAAATATTCGTTATAAAGACAAGACAGTGCTTGATCAAGGTTTCATCGGATTATTATGTTTATTATATTATCATATGTATGTGCTTTTTAAGCAAAATGCTTGAATTTTACTTGGACAAATAAAACGAATTGAATTAGACTTTCAACCAAAAAGATTTGTGTTCGTCTGCCAAATATCACCTTTCTAAAATAAATACACTACGATTACTGATAATGCTGATAATTTGCCATCTATGTATAGTTTTGCAATAGCCTACATGAAAAATATATAAAACACAAAGTCAAAGATAGCATGTATTTATGTGTTTATGTTTTTTTTAGATCTAGAGGGGCGGCAGACCAGTAGGTTACGTCAATTATGAAGTGTCCCATCGTCATCAACAAAAAGCTTTTGCCCTACAAAGCGTACTACTTCCTGAATTGCGCAGGTACGATTGTTCAATTTTGTCTTTTGATTTTTTTTCCGTTAACATAAATCTGTATGATACCTAGTCTTTGAAATACCCGTTAATAATTCTCTTTTGTCAGATTCAAGTCCACTAACTGTGTATTTAGGGTATGTTCCACATTTATAAGTGTAACGAATCAAAATGGTTCATTCCTTTGCATTCTAAAATGTATAAAATTTATTTCAGGCATGTCGTCATTAATACCGTATATACCCATATACATGAAGTACATTGGCCTCACAGCTTCGGAATCCGCAATAATCATAGGAGTTATGCCTTTTATATGTTTCTTCGTGACTCCAATATGGTGTATGCTGGCCGATAAATATCACAAACACAAGGCAGTGTTGATTCTGTGTACAACTGTGAGTCCACTACTTCTGTCGGCTAGTTACTTTCTTCCAAGAGTACAAAACACAGAAGGACGCGTTCAGGTATTTATGCAAGCAAATGAAAGGATGCTCACCGTCAGTAAATGCCAATTTATTGGACAAAATTTGGAGAATAAAATCCAGTGTGACCACTCAAATCAGGAGGAAAATTCACTCCGTGTCACAGAGAACTGCAGGCTGTTATGCACTAGAACTAGCGTTGACACAACAAATGGCAACGATCTTTATTATTCAATACATCCCATACAACTCTGTAAAATGATCAAAAGAGAACGCTACATATATTGCCAAGAATTCGAATACAAGACCAACCTTGTCGTGGAAAATATTTCGTTGGTGCAGACTGCTGATACGGGTTGTCCCCGGTATTCGGTGACATCATTCCACGTCTTTGGCTCTCGCTTTGATTCAGTCAAAGCCAATTCATCACTCAATTTAAAGTGTGATCTGATCTGCGAACAGCCCTCAGCCAAAGACAATAAAATCTATGACTTAGCGACGGACCACTTTTCAATATTTTGCCTGTTCTTCCTCCTTTATTTACTTTACCTGCTATTTCACGTTCCGTGTTTTAGAATTATAGACGCAGTAACATTGGTTGCGTTAACAGATGAAGATATTACCAAATGGGGTCGAACGAGAGTATTCGGCACCGTTGGGTGGGCACTTTTTGCGTACTTCTCCGGGGAACTCATGGACATGGTGGGAGGACCGAAATCGGAGTCAAATTTTCTTCCTGCGTTCCTGCTCTACGTGACATTTTCACTCCTAGCTGCCGTATCTGCCTTCTTCGTTAACATGGACAAAGACATACACTGCGCCCAGCTACTGAAAAACCTTTCAGATCTCTTGAAGGATTTAGAGATCACCATATTCCTAATAATTATGTTAATTTTCGGCATGTACGCTGGGATACTGGCAACATTCCTAAATTGGTATCTTGAAGAACTCTGCGCTCCTAAAAGCCTTATGGGACTGGCAACCGTAGTCGCAGCCGGAGCAGAGACGATAGTGTTCTGCATTTCAGGCTGGATACTTTCCAAAACTGGGCACAGGCCGGTCTTTTACTTGACACTGTTTTTCTTTTCGGTTCGCTTTGCTTCCTATTCACTTCTGGTCAACCCGTGGCACGTCCTGTTGATAGAGCCTATTCACGGTATCACGTTCGGCCTCATGATGGCGGCAGTGACGGAGTATACGGGCATTATAGCCCCGCCAGGGATGGCGGCCACTTTACAGGGCCTGGTGGGAGGAATACACTGGGGAATGGGTAAGTGTCTCCGGTTTAGGAATAACCAAATCTGATGCTTGTGTCACAGTAACGCAAAGTGAGGAGGTGTTTTGACAAGGCTATGAGTATAGGCTCATTCCCAATGAAATTATCGTTCTACGTAGATTGATTAACTCCGCGGGGACTCTCGCTGAATGCAATCAGATTAACATGTTAGCACGCTTATTGTTTCCAACGTACTTGCATAATCACCAGCTTTTCTGTATTTCACTTTACGCCAGGAGGAGGTATGTTAATCTGATTGCTTTCAGCGAGAGTCCCCACGCAGTTGTACCGGTCTACGTAGATCTGGTTTCATTGAGAATGAGTCCTATTTGAATTAAAATATCATATGACTAATTATTTAAAATAAAACTTTTGTAAAAAAATGTATGCTGCTGAATACTTTAAAAAAATTTGTTAAGATTATAGGCAATCAGAGAGCCTATGTTCGCAACAACGTCCGTTTTTCATTTCCCACCTTCAAAACCTTAATGCTGTTGTCGAGAAGGTGCTAGCATACTACACAGAACAGCGGTTATTGAATATTTCATTTTATACATCACACTGGGTTTTAGGCCGAAATGAGCATTTGTTTCAAACATAACGTAGTATCAACTTTGGCATTCTACAATTTTTTGTATTCACTGTTTTCCCCGAAACACATCGTTCAGGCGCTGTCTCATCTATATTCCATTTTTGTGATAAAATGTAAAGCAATATACAGAAGTGGAATGACTGATATCTTTTTAGGACTTGGGATCGGATCCCTTGTAGCTGGACAGATTTACAACAAATTTGGCGGAGTTGTCACGTTTCGTGGATCTGCTGTCTCTGCGCTGGTGGTGCTGGCTATTGTGTGGCCGTTGGAACACTTCGTGGTCCGCAAGCGCAGACCAGATCCGACAGACAAAGAGGAGCTTATAGAGGAAGAAGAAGATAATTATACTACCTTGAAGCAGCCTATGCTGACTAGTTTGGATTCTGCGTATACAAATTGACTATGGCTTTTTTCTTTCTTTTTCCTGTTTTTTGTTTAAGAGTTGGGTAAATGAGGTGATCTTAGATGCGAACAGGTAAAAAAAAAGTCATTAATTTTATTATTAATTTAAATTTTAAATTTTCCATTGTGTTAATTCTTTTTTTTTTTTTTTGCTAGTACACAGCAGTCCTTTTTATGCACGACTCATAGCACGTTGAAGTTTTGGAGAGGGTCTGTAAAAGATAGATTTCTGAATTCAGATGACTTTGTAAACTTTTTCAGTTGATAGTTATCGACAGTTATCCCTAACATTAAACCCCTAACTCAACATAATTCTACGGTATTGGGATGGATTCCTTGGATCATATAGATTATCTACGCTGTGATACATGTGTACTTATGTAAAGGTGGAGGGGAGGGGGAGGTCCTTGCTTTCGTCAAAAAACTGCGATTTATTCGTCCTGTATTCACATATCTATGTTGCTTCAAGAATAAAGAAATATATGCCATCCCATTGAAAGTAATGCTGCGCTTTTTTCAAATGAATAAATCGAGCGAATCTGGTCAATTATTTATTAACAGCAGTCTGTAGTAAAAACCGTAATTTCATCTTTGAGGATTATATAGAGCTGTAGAGGAAGGTTGTTTATACCCGATCAATCATTTACAACAGACACTTATATAATATTCGGGTGAGAGATGGCATCTAAAATATGTAAAAAAACAACAATAGTATAGTTCTGGAGGAGGAGGAGCGCAGTGTGTAAATTCGTTTCTGTGTTTTTGTCATTTACAACCAAAGTTCATCTGCTGAATAACAGAAATATGGCCGACCAGCTTGAAAGTTAACCGCGTAATCCCCGCCCGGAAATATGTTCAATGTCTATTAGGGGATTATGTGTCAAGCTTTCAAGTGGGTCGGCCAAATTTGATCGGCGGATCTGTTAGTCCGCGGATCAACTGGTTGTGAATGCAGCTTTACACAACAAAACCCCTTAAAACCTACCAAGACGATAACTGATTACCTGAGAAACGCATATGTGCCCGTCAACCTACACTGTAATGTGAAACTTAATTCTTTGATATTAAAAATTTGATTCCAATGTTTTCATTGCATTCGAGTCGCTGCCATTAAAAACAAAATGCCGATTTATTACCCGAAACGGTAGGATTACCGACTGAACACGATTATAGAAACTACTTACAGATGTGGTATGAGATCGCTAGAGTAACAATTTCAAGATGATGCCGAATAAAGATTTTTGCCTATGTCCGGTTCCCGGCGTAGATAAAGATGATAAAGATGGTCATATGGTCTGAGTCTTGTACATGCATTCAGTAAAACAGGTCGTATTTTATAATAAATTATTGAAAGAAGAAAATGTCAGCTTGAAGTAATGAAAACGTTAAAAATCCGTATATGCATCTGACACATGCATTTTTGGCCTAACGTATTAATAACGTTATTAATGCTAGACGCTAAACTCAGAAATATGTTCGTGCTTAAAAAGAAAAAACAAACAAAAAGAAAAAAAAAGTCGCGCGTGTTACCAATGCTTTCATTTTACAGTCACTCCCCTGATGTATTAAATTATAACTATCTAGGTTCTGATCTAGTCCAACTATGGAGGTCACTCTGATTGTGTCGCCCATGACATGTATATTTTGGCAAAATAACAATCATGAAATAAAATAAAATAAAATAAAATTTTTCAAACATCAATTAACCTCATGCTGACAGCAGTATTAATGATAAATAGACATTTACCAGTAGCTCATACATGTAGGAAGTAAGTCTATTTCAATATTGAGATTTACATTTTGAGGATAGGGCAATCAAAGGTGAACACACTTAGTAGAATTATTTTCATCTTACAAGCACAGTAGTAGCTTATATATTACATCACACCGCGCCGCGTCGTTTTTTATTCATGGATGTTGGTATATGAATCAATTATTTATAAATCAGTTTCTATGTGCTTTGTCGGCTTCTATATTATGTGAGCGTGTCCACAAATCACAAGACATGTAAGCATGGTAAAGTCTGTATTAACACAAGAGGGCATACATCCGTTTTGTCCGGGCAAAAGTCCAATTTACTAGCTAGGCAAGTAATGTACACCATTAAGGAACCTTGTAAATTCTTACTATTTTAAAAATTGTGTTAATAAGTTTAAGTGACCACTACTAGTAGTACTATAACAACTTGATGCTGTGACGCTTGAAAATAAGCACGAGTAACAATGCAGTTCGTCACTGTAGGCTACGCGCTCATTATCGTCTCAGTGAATAGGCAAAAAGCACTCAGGTTTAATAATGATGTGATCTTTTCTTCAGTCAACAGCTAATATTGAGATAGTTTTAACCTCCAATATTTCGATGTCTATCAGGACATCTTCATTATTATAACTTAACGCAGCTGATGAAATTCTTCTCTGACACTCAGGTATACCCTGAACATTAAAACCAGTAAAATTTGTTATTATTGTATTGTGACAATGGCATTTTTAAAAAATAATAAGTAAGCAATTTATATAAATAGGACTACATTTAATAAAAGCACAATAAAGTGAAGCAACAGTTAAAAAAATAAGCCCTTTCCGGAAATCCATAAACCCACGTGTTCATCTGCCGATTGTGATCATGAGTCACGCCACCTAACACGTCATGTGTCTGCGGTGAAATTATTGCATTATACGACGTAGTACCAGTAGCTGCTCCACGTGTAGATTGAAAGCACTCGACGATAGCAGGAGCCTTTGCGACAGGTGGATAAGGCTAAGAAAAAATCGAGATAATATAACAGGTAGGCCTAAATGTCGCCTCTTGTATATTGTGATATAGATTAAGTATTTGGTCAGCGAGGCCTTACGGCCTTATTCACTGTTTTTGTTGTGATTCTTTATAACAATGCCAGCATGATCGGTATCATTAAGAAAACTGCGGTCATCTATATGTAATTTTTAAGCAAGACGTTTAAAGTAGAAATTAAGTACGTTGGTTCATATGTAGGCCTACACCCTGTATACTCGTGTATACTCTACAAAATATTCATGTTTTCTAAATAACAGTAAATGCTCACCCGCAGGCGAAGCCAGTATTTTTATATGAGAGAAAAATATATAATTCAAGGCTGTATAAATTTTTGTCACTTAATGCAGGAGCAGTTTTATGGCTCGGTTAAAATGCACTGTGCCGAATACGATACAGTAGAAAGTGGTATTAATATAAGTCAAGACAATAAATATTTTATGCTTGCATTTCCACACTGCCTTATGTTGGGCTGATATGTTTTTATTTATAAATTGACATATAGATGACGTCACTAACTCGTAGCTCGTTCAGACTGATGTCTCTCTCGCGTGACATTCTTTGTGATGGTCCATCAGTGGTCAAGCGCGACGTTTGTTTTTCGCCCATGACCCTATTATTACTTCATTAAGCGATCTCTGACATGTAAATGCAGTCACAGATACTAAAAATAGCCGCTCGCTGTACACTTATGACGCAGTGACTGTTTATGAAGGCCTTTTGTGTAAACAACACGCATATATACTACATACCTACGGCGTTCTACCGAATCTTCTTCAATCTGATTTCAGGAAAACATTAATAATTGGTAGATATAAGACATCTAGGGCCATAATTTCCGGTGCAAGCTCTATTAATCATGAACCCATGATACACTCGGGTCCAAAGTTTGATAAACACATCTACAGTATATATATAAAACCACTGAGCTTCTCTGTTATTTTAATCGAAAACGCGCAGTCGAAGACATTGTTGTTTGAAAACCACATCAGGCTTTGAACATTTCTACGGGATTGTTTATGGGAACTTGGTAACAGGTGTTTTATATATATTCATATTGATTGTAGATAATGTATACTTTTTTATGTTTAAAACAACCTGAGGTTTTTCTTTGAAAATATTTATTTTGTTAAGAAATCAAGATGATGGTAGTTCAGTTCACCGTACAATTTCGGGATTTAGACTTACTTTTTCTCAACTAACCTGGCGTTATGCCAAATTTTATTTTTGGGTTAGATGCCTTCTTTCCTTGGTTAAATTTTGTTTCATTTTATTTTAATTTAAATTTTATTTTAAACCAATATTGGAATAAATCCCTAAACACTTTGACTCCAGGAAGCGGAATAATAGTAACATGGCTCCCAGAAACTTGGTTGACGCGTCTCCTGTACCCGTCGGTGAACTCTACGAGGATACGGCCGCTGTAGAAGAAGAGCCAAAAGTCCAAGTGCCGATTAGAATTGTTTGGAGGAACGTGTTTCTTTTCTCGTTACTTCACATCTCGGCAGTCTATGGCATTTTTCTCATTCCCCAAGCAAAACTCCTCACAATTGCCTTTGGTAAGTACAACGTGTGTGTAGACCTGTCATATTTTTTCAAAGAATTGATATTTTAGAACACATTTACAGTCACGTTAACGTTATATTGACGCACAGTCACGTTATAATGACGTGCGCTCAGTTGGCCGTTTCTGGCGGTCTCTAATGGAAGGCAAGAGTGTTCTCTGCTTGTGGTCATACATCGCAATCCCTTGGGTTTCTGAAGCACTGTATTAGTAACTACCAATAAGTATAGACGTAAAAAACGAGCCTGTTTAGACCAGTTTGAAAAGTAGGACCGCTTGGGTTTAAATCCTTTTTCAATACTTAAAATATTATCTTATAGACAGTTAATTACAGTGTACTAGTACATGTATGCCTATGGCACACTGTGGTTTCTTAATTATTCACTCTCTGTGAGAACTCAAAACTAACTCAGAGTCTCAGGTTATCCAAGATTTGGTTGTGATATGGGGATTTTTTACTCTGTCCCTTTCTCAGTCTGCGGAAGACAAATCATTAAACATATGTGACCACAATACGTCATGCTGGATTAGGGGGTCATCCATTTTTATCATCACTTTCAAAAGTATCAGAGTAGCCTTTTATCCAGATCCCACCCCTTAAGAGAGTACGAGGTAAAAATCTAAAAATGACACCTTAGCCATTTGGATCATACATCATTTTTATCTCTATCTGAAAGCTTACAAAATGCATTACCCCCACACATACACACACACACACACACACACTCAACTGGCGCACGGTCCGTCTAGCTTGTGAAATGACGAGTAAAACGCATGATCACTTTACTGAAAGGGTAGAGGCTACTATGCCACTCATGCGTGTGAAGGGGCCTATTGCCAATATTTTGATCAAGTAATTAGCATTGATGATCTATTGACTTTACCTTCCAGCCATCTTGCTGTACATAGGCAGCGCCATGGGCATCACGGCAGGTGCTCACAGACTGTGGTCTCACCGGTCTTACAAGGCCAGGCTACCTCTGAGGACATTCCTCGCTTGTCTACAGTCTCTGGCTTTTCAGGTAAAACATCTATACCGACATCGAAGTAAATAATGCAAGATTAAAAAGTAATGTTTCATTTCGATGTTGTATTGTATTTTAATATAGCAAGCGTAAAAAACGATCGCCTCTCTCTCTCGCGCGCGCGTGGGAGGTGAGCGGGGGGGGGGGGGGGGCGGACTTGTATCAAAACCCATTGGCTTATAAGTACAAGTAGAAAAGTAGAATTTATGGTCAACCACTTTTCTTTTTCATTCCAGAACGATATCATTGAGTGGGTCCGAGATCACAGAGTGCATCACAAGTACTCGGAGACGGACGCAGACCCCCACAACGCGTTACGCGGGTTTTTCTTCGCGCACATTGGCTGGTTGTTGGTGAGAAAACATCCCGATGTCAAAACCAAGGGGAAGCAGATTGACTTAAGCGACCTTTACGCTGATCCTGTGTGCGTTTATCAAAGAAAGTAAGAAGTCGTGATTTTGTTTATCAGTTTAGTGACGAATGTGAATATATTATTTGCCAGGGTGTAACCATGGAAGCATATCTACTTTCATGGTGTAATGTACATGGACGTAAGGGGTTTTAGTGCTATTAGTCATTGTGTGAAATTATGTAAAATTAATAGTGGTGCGTAGTGTTTTTGATCTTTTGGAATGAAATAAAGACGTAAATCTCCTTTAAAAAGGGCGATAGATCGTGAGGGCAATATATATTTTATGTATATTCCAAACCCGCACCTGAATCTATTATACTATTTCGTGCAGGTTCGTGAAAGTTGAATCATAAATTGGTGTATTCATATACTAGCTGTTACTTCTTAGACCATCCAATAAAAATGCAAGCATGAGAGACGAGTTTTATCAACCGTAGCGGATTTTTATAACTGGTATTTATTCATATCTATGAAATTCAAACATGAAATTATTTTAATTCTTACAGGTTTTACTACCCATCTGTTCTGCTGTTCTGTTTTATACTACCAACGCTGGTTCCGTGGTACTTCTGGGGCGAGAGTATTTGGGTTGCCTACGTCATATGCGCCCTCTTGCGGTACTGTGCGGCACTAAACGCGACGTGGCTGGTCAATAGCGCCGCACATTTATACGGAAACAGACCGTATGACAAAAACATCAACCCTAGAGAAAACAGAATGGTAGCATTTGGAGCGATAGGAGAAGGATTCCATAACTTCCACCACACTTTCCCTCATGACTATTCCACCAGCGAATTCGGATGGCGTAATTGTTTAAATCTCACGACTGCGTTCTTAGATCTCATGGCCGTTTTTGGCCAAGTTTATGACAGGAGAAAAATATCTCCTGAAGTTGTTATGCGACGAAAGTTAAGGACTGGTGAGGTGACAGATAAATGAAATTATTATTAGGCAATATATGATGTGCACTGATTGTGATACGAACACAATGGCCAGTTAGTGATTGCGTTAGTTGAACATCTCCAACGCAATCACACAACCAGTGTATTAGTATAGAGGAGCAGGCCACCCTTGTACGAACGTACTAGGGAATATCAATGTTCCAGATTTTATCGTTGTGCTTTATTAATGTACAACATGCGAACTCATGTGAAACTTAAAACCAAAGAACAGGAGTCTCACGCATCTTAATTAAAGGAAACACTAAGTACTTGAAAGCATTTTATGACTTTTGTTAAACAGGTGCATTTGTACTGCAGTATATACGTACTTAAGATATGTTGTTCTTGCTTGGTGCCTCTTGAAATTGACATATCACTTATGCTTTAACTGCCACTTTTTAAAAAAATTCTAATTACTTTTATCAATGTTGTCGATCCCCTTTCTGTCTGCATGTATGTCAGGAGATCAAGTCAATCAAAATCTTTTTAATCTCAAGATTGTGGTTTTAATTCACTGTGGGGTTTTAACAGAAGAAACGTGTGCTTTGCAGCACACAATTTTAATTAAAAGAAAAGAAAATATTATATAAAATACCTTCATTCAATCTATTTATTGCATTTGGTCTATTTATAGTGCAGCCATTGCAAAGAAACGACCGTCTCTTGATTCCATGGTACAGAATTGCAGAGCCCATGCTCCAGCACTCAAAATGCCATTTTTCCTACATCCCTTACAGTTGTGTGCCTATGACAGGGTACACCCTAACCTTATAATTGTATCCCTTGTTCCCATTTTATTAAAATATATTAAACTATATAATTGTTGAAAGCAAAAATAAACCATTCATCACTGATTTATGCCTTTGTTTTAAAAATTTAAAATATGAATCTAATTATAAAACTAATTATAAATTTAATTATACTTTAAGTAAATGAAAATACAGAGTAGTACAAAAACATCTCTGCACCACTGTATAAAAGGATTATGGACTGAATTCTAATTAATCTTCAGGACACTATGAATTAACAATTTTTAAAGACTTTAAAAGTATGATCACATTTTTCATAAATTCCAAAGCCGATGGATCATTCCTTATTTTGTAAAAAAAAATTTCCCTGAGCCATAAAATATTAGATAAAAGCATTCATATTCTAGCAAAAATAGCCATGCCCGTACATGCTATGTATTAAAGGTCGTAAATAACCTGCAGACTTCAATGTGTTTTCAATAGATGACCAGAAGGTAAAAAAGGATATCATTATGCCTGCATATATATATCACACTTTGTATATTTTTTTCCCAGTGGGTATACTTCACTGTCCTTTTGCCAAGTCCATGTAAGTTGCGCCAAAGCGCATATTCAGGTAGTCAAGAGCACCGATTGGTTCATATTTGTTGGAGCCATCCAGACACGTGATCATCACCTGATCGTCTGGCTGAGCAAAGAAAGCAATTGACTGTCGAGCTTTAGACAGTAACTCCTGGTCCTGTGGGAATAGCACCCTATGCTTCTGAAAGTGAAAGAGATAACGGTTTTAAATTTATAAGATATTCACAAAATTAAATTAGTAACATAATTTTTGACAAAGATTTTTTCAAAGTTTGCTAAAAGCAATGTCAAATGCTGAAAAATAACTTAATTTTCATAATTTAAAAATTAAAAGAAATTTTTAAACAAAGTAAACCACCTGCAACACAACTGAAATATATAAAACTGTATCATAATGTATGCAATGTAAAAATGTGTTTATACCAGTATATTTCTTTCATTGACATCCACACAAAATACCCCTGTAGCACTAAAATATGTAAACACACATGTACAGCAAGGCTTTCCCCAGAGAGCCGTCCAGCCATCATTTGGACTGCCACTGGCATCAAAAGAAGGCCTATATTTTCAAAGACAGCTTATGAAACATTGGAGAATGATAGTATATTTGTAGTTGGACTCCCTAGATATGAGTGACCAAATTACACATCAACCTTTTGGACACCTTGTACCAGAAATCCTGGGGAAACCCTTGATACACAAGTATGTGCAGGCCCGTAGCCAGAAATTTCAAAAGGGGGGGTTCTGAAGAAGTGGAACTTTTTCCATAAAAACTTCATGTACCTAGATCAAACTTTACCCAGAGTGGACCTTTTCCCAGCAAAAGGGGTGGTTCTTTTGAACCCCACCCCCCACGGCTACAGGCCTGATGTGCCTACGTCTAGTGAATACTTACAGCAGCTATGAGTCTGTCTGCAGCCCATCTCTGCATTAAATCTCCTATGTTAACAACTATAGCACCAGGAATGTATGGAACTGGGGTGTAACGGCCGTCATGAGTTAGTACCTGGATATCAGGAAAAAATCAAGGAATTTTGTAGCAAATTGTGAGTAAAACCTCATATGGTTACTACTTATATTAATATAATTTATAACTCTGTAAATGTCACTACAGGAGTAGGTAGTTTAACTAGTATGTCAAATTTGAGAAGCAAATATACGGCCTAATATTGTATGCTTATTGGTGTAAAACTGGAAAGTAATTGACCAAATCTTTGACTACAAATTTCCAACTACAAAATCTGCTACACTGTTGATTTAGCTAATACACAAGAACTCCATACTTAAGGACTCTTGCTGAATGCAATCAGGTTAACAGACTAACATGCCTCCTCCTCGCTTTGAGTAGAATACAGAAAAGCTGGTGATTATGTAAGTACATTGGAAACAAGAGGTGTGTTAGTCTGTTGATCTGATTGCATTTGGCAAGAGTCCTTGTGAAGTTAGTGCACATTGGCTAGGTGAACAAAATTCATTATGAATGGTCCCTACAGGAAGCCACTCACCTCAAGACCTCCCATTTCTCTCTGGTACACCAGTGTTATGGACCCAAAGTCAGAATGTTCTCCACACCTCACTTGGTTTGCTTTTATTGAGGCAGCGCTAGGCACACCTAAGTGTAAGGGGATGTAGAACAAATAGAAAACTAAATTACTAAGATTGAGTATAACAAAATGCTTACCACTGTGTAGCTGGTGTATTCGAATACAATGATGGCTATAGTAAAGTAGTAATTAAAATATAAATAAACCAACTAAAAAAACTTCTTACAAAGTCATTGCTTAAAAATCTAAATAAATTTAAGAAATACAACAGTACAATACAAAAATCAAATTCCCTAAACTACGCTTGAGCAAGGGCTTAACAATAGATAATAAAATTACATGCAGTGAACATTGTGCACAAACTATTCTACAGCAGCCAAAACACATACAGGATCTGTTGCCATGGATTCCAAACAATCCCAGGACTGGGCAAAACAAAGCCAGAAAAATGCCAGACCTGCAAGTCAGTGGTGTTTCTTACCATCACTTTTTAATATCAAAATTATGTATAAATCTCAATTGTGGAGCTTACATTTATCAATGAACTGAAGTTGCAGCCTCCACCCACCCTCAAGACCTTTCACTAAATAATGACCTGGATGGACTGGTCATCTAACTTATTGACATACAGCTCGAAATAGTCTCAAGTGCCTATTCTATTCTATCCTATTCTCTTCTTTTCTAATCCTCCTGGATAACTAAAAACATTCTCTCCCCACTGGTTATGTTTAGTGTATATAGTAGGTAGACTACCTGGATAATACATAGTTCTCAGTGTAGAGGCATTGCCATCCTTGCCCAGCAGCTGGTGAGTATTCACTAGATACTGTGGCTCCTAATATATTATAGAAATTAAAATAAAATTAACTACAAATCTTACAATAAGGACAATATGTGTTATGGCAATTTGCAAAGAACTGTTATTTTTCTGCTTTTCTAAAAGAAAAATTACCAAAAAGTTTCAGGGTCCGTAAATACTGAACATCAAGAATCAAGATAAATTATTCTATCGATAATTGGACATATTATCAAAAAAATTTTCCACCTCTAAACAAAATCTGTGACCTTATCTTACAAAAAGCAGTAGTCTATAAAAAAAGACAAACACCCAAGTGTTAAAAATCACTAATTCTTACCAAGTCTAATCCATAGGCCATGGCTTCTAATATCCTCAGTGTTAATTGACTGGAAAGGTCCCAGAATTTTTCAAAAGTTGTCTTGAACTTTGGGAGCTCTTCATCAGGCCATGGCTAGAAACAAAACTTTGTTTTAATTAAATAAATAAGAAACTAATTTGGTCAAAGAAAGTAAAAATATGACATTTACCATTTTAAATAAATGTTTATATAAATGAATTACAAGAAATTCCACTGTTATCTACCACTATTATAATGCATTGATTTTTGCACTACATGTATGTTAAAAACAAAGAAAGATTACATATTTAACAATGAGTATCTCAATAACATTATGGTAATAATCAGTTAAAAATATGCTAATACTATCAGTCTATGAACGGTATGCTTGTTTGTTAAATAAGAGATCAGCATATCAAATTACTGCCTTTATTTCATAACCTACTTTGTACTGACTTTTGGGAGTAAAATTGAACGACTCCTTAAGATCTGATGGCCTCTCTTCTGGATTTAAGCTAAAAATGCGAAAACACATTTAAGTATCAAATCTAACAAAATCAAATGACTTTAAGACATTGCACATTCACAGACCAACCCTAATAATTTTGAATATATGTCTTAACTAATGCAAAGTAATTATATAAATAAATAAATAAATAAATAAATAAATAAATAAATAAATAAATAAATAAAAATACATTCAAGACAGTAGATTATGATTTCCTTACCCTTCTCTCTCCAGTTCCACATACCCATGGTTGCTGTCTTTGGCTTTCCTGTGCTTCACTTTTACTTCTGTAGGCAGTGCAAAAAATTCTTCTGATATCTTGAAAATATCTGCAACCTAAGCAAATAATTAGTATTAAGGCAATGTATCTATCTATTGGTGTCACAGCTGCTTGCTTTCATCAAAATAAAACACTTGAAACTCAAGGCTGAAATTGTGTCAACATAGATAAAAATCCTGAGACACATCATCTAAAGAGGAGCCTGAGAAGGAAATTTTAAATTGGCGTATTTACTGAGTGCAATATATTACAGGAAGATTGTGGAAAGGGGTCATTTTCTAATGAAAAAATCTACTGGCAATTATAGTCCACTAAATTCACACGTTCTAAAACAAATCTACAGATCTGCAGGAAATTTTACTGGCTGCAAGCATTGAAATGGAGGCTAGTGTAGCAGACTGATAAAACACAATATAATAAATTTTATTTCATGTCAAGTATAAATTAGATGTAAACATTAGCTCTACAGTTATTCACCAACTGGGTTATGACAAACATTTCTATAAATAATGCAGTATTTACACATGAGGTCTAGTAAGATAATAAAATGGGAAATTTTTCTACTAAATATACAAATTCACATGAAGTCTACTAAGATAGTAAATGAAAAATCTTTCTATGAAAAATATACAAATGCTGGCCCTAATTAATTGTGAAAAACAAACATTTCTACATTTCTCAGAGGTGTTATCCAAATAAGATGAAGGATAAATCTGCCGTTTTTCATTGAAAAAAGTGGGCTGGCTCGGTTTTCGTCCCCGTATCTTTCTTAGATTTTAATACAATACCTCAGTTTCCGAAATTCCGTGGTTGACAACGTTGAAGAATCCAACCGTCTCGAAAGCATTGATAATTTGCTGCCCTGCTCGCTTCAGATTTTCTTCCTCGCGCACTTTGTTTATTGCACACCCTGAAAAGTCTATAAGTGGTATTTCAACACCAGACATCATGTACCAATAGTCAGAACTACTTCACCTACGAATGACCGATGCATGTGTTTTGCTTGGCGATGATAATGCACCTTACTATATTTTAATTATTATTGTGGACAGCCGATGGCGCCACTGATCACTTTATTCTAACAGATGGCATGAAAGCCATGCGTTAGGGCATCGTGTTTAACGTCAGATAAGGAATGAAATGTAATACTTTTGGAAAGGAAAAGTTTTTTTGCACCACCCTTTAAGTTAAGTAACGTTTTTTTTTTTTTGTTGTTCTTTTTAATCTTAGGGCTCTTCGTGGTTTAAAGCATCGGTAGCCAGTTGCTTCCTTTCGTAATATCTTCGAAACAGAAACTAATGGTTGCAGAACCGGCAGAACTTACAAGTAAAAATGTAGGTTTACATGTATTTTCATTTGTTGAATTTGCATGGGGATTTGTAGATAATAAGAAAACTAATAAGATAATTTTATTGTTAAGTAAATATTCTCGGTCACCTAGTAGCAGTAAAAAAATAATATAAATCAATAGTGAAATTAATCAAGTTTGAAATTAGGATTAAGAACTTCCTCTATTTGATTCACTTATAATCTTTAATTTAATGGTGTATTTACAGCTGTGCATGGCTTTGATATTTATTTTGATCTTCTTCCAGGATATATGGCACTGCATGTTGAGCTTATATGAAAATAAACGGTTGCTGAGCACCTCAAAAAGAGACAAGACTTGTTAAGTTAATTCTGAAATGGAAAATTCTAACAATGGCACTCCACAACTAGCGGACCCATGGGTCTCACCAGACAGGTCAATCTGTAAACAGCTNTTTTTCCCTAAAAACTTCATGTTCCTTAACAAACTTTTCCCCGAGTGGGCCTTTTCCCCCCAAAAAGGGGGGTTTTTTTTAACCCCCCCCCCCCCCCCCCCCCACGGCTACAGGCCTGATGTGCCTACGTCTAGTGAATACTTACAGCAGCTATGAGTCTGTCTGCAGCCCATCTCTGCATTAAATCTCCTATGTTAACAACTATAGCACCAGGAATGTATGGAACTGGGGTGTAACGGCCGTCATGAGTTAGTACCTGGATATCAGGAAAAAATCAAGGAATTTTGTAGCAAATTGTGAGTAAAACCTCATATGGTTACTACTTATATTAATATAATTTATAACTCTGTAAATGTCACTACAGGAGTAGGTAGTTTAACTAGTATGTCAAATTTGAGAAGCAAATATACGGCCTTATATTGTATGCTTATTGGTGTAAAACTGGAAAGTAATTGACCAAATCTTTGACTACAAATTTCCAACTACAAAAAAGCACACATATCTGCTACACTGTTGATTTAGCTAATACACAAGAACTCCATACTTAAGGACTCTTGCTGAATGCAATCAGGTTAACATGCCTCCTCCTCGCTTTGAGTAGAATACAGAAAAGCTGGTGATTATGTAAGTACATTGGAAACAAGAGGTGTGTTAGTCTGTTGATCTGATTGCATTTGGCAAGAGTCCTTGTGAAGTTAGTGCACATTGGCTAGGTGAACAAAATTCATTACAAATGGTCCCTACAGGAAGCCACTCACCTCAAGACCTCCCATTTCTCTCTGGTACACCAGTGTTATGGACCCAAAGTCAGAATGTTCTCCACACCTCACTTGGTTTGCTTTTATTGAGGCAGCGCTAGGCACACCTAAGTGTAAGGGGATGTAGAACAAATAGAAAACTAAATTACTAAGATTGAGTATAACAAAATGCTTACCACTGTGTAGCTGGTGTATTCGAATACAATGATGGCTATAGTAAAGTAGTAATTAAAATATAAATAAACCAACTAAAAAAACTTCTTACAAAGTCAATGCTTAAAAATCTAAATAAATTTAAGAAATACAGCAGTACAATACAAAAATCAAACTCCCTAAACTACGCTTGAGCAAGGGCTTAACAATAGATATTAATAAAATAACATGCAGTGAACATTGTGCACAAACTATTATACAGCAGCCAAATCACATACAGGATCTTTTGCCATGGATTCCAAACAATCCCAGGACTGGGCAAAACAAAGCCAGAAATATGCCAGACCTGCAAGTCGGTTGCATTTCTAACCATCACTGGTTAATATTAAAATTATGTATAAATCCCAATTGTGGAACTTGCATTTAGCAACGAACTGAAGTTGCAGCCTCCACCCACCCTCAACCCAAGACCTTTCACTAAATAATGGCCTGGATGGACTGGCCATCTGATTTACTGACACACAGCTAGCAAAAGTCTTGAGTGCCTATTCTATTTTATCCTTCTATTCTAATCCTCTTAGATGATTAAAAACATTCACTCTTCAATGGCTTTGTTCAGTGTATACAGTAGGTAGTCTACCTGGATAATACATTGTTCTCAGTGTAGAGGCATTGCCATCCTTGCCCAGCAGCTGGTGAGTATTCACTAGATACTGTGGCTCCTAACATATTATAGAAATGAAAATAAAATTAACTACAAATCTTACAATAAGGACAATTTGTGTTATGGCAATTTGCAAAGTACTGTTATTTTTCTGCTTAGAAGAAAAATCACAAAAAAGTTCCAGTGTCCATAAATACTAAACATCAAAAATCAAGTTAAATTATTCTATGGATAATCAAATATATTATCAAAAATTTTTTTCCACTTCTGAACACAATCTGTAACCTTATCTTACGAAAAGTAGTAGTGTATAAAAAATTGCAAACACCCAAGTGTTAAAAAGCCAGTAGTTCTGACCAAGTCTAATCCATAGGCCATGGCTTCTAATATCCTCAATGTTAATTGACTGGAAAGGTCCCAGAATTTCTCAAAAGTTGTCTTAAATTTTGGAAGCTCTTCATCAGGCCATGGCTAGAAACAAAAGTTTGTTTTAATTAAATAAATAAGAAACTGATTTGGTCAATAAAAGTAAAAATATGACATTTTCCAATTTATAAAATGTTTATTTATATAAATGAATTACAACAAACTCCACTGTTATCTATCACTATTAAACTGCATTGAGTTTGGCACTACATGTATGTTAAAAACAAAGAAAGATTACATATTTTTAAATAAATAATATTTTTAAAATAATGTGTATCTCAATAATATTATGGTAATAATCAGTTAAAAATATACTAATATTATCATTCTATGAATGGTATGCTTTTTTGTTTAATAAAAGATCAGCTAATCAAATTACTGCCTTTATTTCATAACCTACTTTGTACTGACTTTTGGGAGTAAAATTGAACGACTCCTTAAGATCTGATGGCCTCTCTTCTGGATTTAAGCTAAAAATATGAAAACATATTTAAGTATCAAAACTAACAAAATCAAATGACTTTAAGACATTATACATTCACAGACAACGTACCCTAATAAATTTGAATATATGTCTTAACTATTGCGAAGTAATTATATCAATAAATAATAAATAATTAAATAAACATTCAAAAAAGTAGATTATGATTTCCTTACCCTTCTCTCTCCAGTTCCACATACCCATGGTTGCTGTCTTTGGCTTTTCTGTGCTTCACTTTTACTTCTGTAGGCAATGCAAAAAATTCTTCTGATATCTTGAAAATATCTGCAACCTAAGCAAATTATTACTATTAAGGCAATGTATTTATCTCTTGGTGTCACAGCTGCTCGCTTTCTCTTATCTATCAAAATATAAAACACTTGAAGCTCAAGGCTGAAATTGTGTCAACATAGATAAAAATCCCCAGACACATCATCAGAAGAGGAGCCTGAGAAGGAAACTGGTTGGAATTAAGGGAACCTTTTAAATTGGTGTATTTACTGAGTGCAATATATTACAGGAAGATTTTGGAAAGGGGTAATTTTTATGAAAAAATCTACTGGCCATTATTGTCCACTAAATTCACATGTTCTAAAACAAATCTACTGATCTGCAGGAAATTATATTGGTGGCAGGCGTTGAAATGCAGGCTACAATACCTCAATTTCCGAAATTCCGTGGTTGACAACGTTGAAGAATCCAACTGTCTCGAAAGCATTGATAATTTGCTGCCCTGCTTGTTTCAGATTTTCTTCCTCGCGCACTTTGTTTATTGCGCACCCTGAAAAGTCTATAAGTGGTATTTCAACACCAGACATCATGTACCATAAGTCAGAACTACATCACCTACGAATGACCGATGCATGTGTTTTGCACGGCGATGATAATGCACCTTACTTTACTTTAATTATTATTGTGGACGGCCGATGGCGCCACTGATCACTTTATTCTAACAGGTGGCATGAAAGCCATGTGTTAGGGCATCGTGTTTAACGTCAGATAAGGAATGAAATGCAATGCTTTTGGAAAGGAAAAAATTTTACACCACCCTTTAAGTTAAGTAACGTTAATTTTTTTTATCTAAGGGCTCTTCGTGGTTGAAAACATCGGTAGCCAGTTGCTTCCTTTCGTAACATCTTCGAAACAGAAACTAATGGTTGCAGAACCGGCAGAACTCACAAGTGAAAATGTAGGTTTACGAGTATTTTTATTTGTTGAATTTGCATGAGGATTTGTAGATCATAAGAAGACTAATAAAATAATTTTTTGTTAAGTAAATATTGTCAGTCAGCTAGTAGCAGTTAGAAAAATAATATAAATCAATAGTGAAATTAATCAAGTTTGAAATTAGAACTTCCTCTATTTGATTCACATATAATCTTTAATTTAATGTTGTATTTGTAGTTTTTCCTGGCTTTGATGTTTATTTTGATCTTCTTCCAGGATATATGGCACTGCATCTTGAGCTTATATAGAAAGAAACGGTTGCTGAGCCCCTCAAAAAGAGACCAGACTTGTTGAGTTAATTCTGAAATGGAAAATTCTAACAATGGCACTCCACAACTAGCGGACCCATGGGTCTCACCAGACAGGTCAATCTGTAAACAGATAACCCACCCGGGGGAAGGGTTGTACACACCAAATGAGGGCTCTATTGTGACAGTCTGTATCAAAAGTGTGCACATTCCTCAGGATGTTGCTGCTGGTCAACTATACCAGTATGACTGTGGGAATATTGAGATTACCCTTGGGTTCCCAGACACTTGGTGCAACGAGAACATAGAAAAATGCATTGAGAGTATGAAACCAGGGGAGGTGTGCGAGGTTTGTTTCTCAAGAGATCATAAGACCTGGGATGAATTTAAAGATGATGAAGCTAGTAAAGTTGTCCTCCGTGTTACCTTGAAAAGTGTCCAGAGATGCACAGATTTGTGGGAGAGAGAGCCGGAACTAATTTTACAGATGGCACAAAAATGCAAAGACAATGGATCAAGACTGTTTAAAGAAGGCAACCTGGAGTATGCTTCTAAACACTACAGTAAAGCTTTGAAATATCTCATAATTTTAAGAGGGTGGGATGTAAGCCCCGAGTTAAATGAAAAGATACGAAGTTTGTCTGCTGTGTGTTATACCAATATATCTCTTTGTTTGCTGAGGAATGGCTCATATGAAAATGTAGTGAGAAGTTGTGATAAAGCTTTAGAAATTAACCCCCAGGATGTTAAAGCTCTCTTTAGGAGAGCTAAAGCAAATACAGAACTGAAAAACTACGATGATGCCAAGATGGACTTGGCAAAGGCTGAGGCAAAAGAGCCAGGCAATCCTGATGTAAAGAACCTGAAAAAAATTGTTGAAGAACGTTTGAAAAATTCAGAAAGTACCATAGCTGCAGGGATGCGAAAAATGTTCGGTAGTTGAAAATAAAGATTTCTTTTGCAGAATTAAAGTTGGAGGGTTATTTTTACTTTAAAACCAACAGGATAATGTACATGAGATGATTAATCAAATATTATGCAAAACTAAACAAAAATAGAGTAAGAATTTAAAAGAAACTCAGGTTTAAAGTATATTTTATGGTGTTTGAAAATATGCATATTATCAGTTCAGTAATACAGATTTTATGCTTGTAAAATAAATGACATTACAGGACTGCTTGAATCTCTTTGAAAGCTCGTTATTATCTATCAAAAGGAACAGCCAGCATTTACTTTTCAGTCTTTATTCATAGTATTTTCTGTAAGCTCCTCACATTTTACTAACAGTACTGTACCAACACAAAACAAGATCTCACATAGCAAACTGGCAGGTTACTGATTCAGAAGTAAGTTTTTTAATTGATGCAATAGATAAATGAAAAATATTTTTTGAAAACCCATTCCTGCTGTCTTTGGTCCGTTACTAGTTGATTATATTTCATGGAGAGTTCATAAATTATATATTCTCTTTGATCTGACGTGATCTATAAAATAAGTGGATGGCTCGTTATTTTTTACCTGTTTTTTTAACCATTACGAGTTTTAAAAATATGGATTCACAGTAAATAACTCAATAATTAAGTGCTACACAATATAACACACAGCCAGCATATATTACAGAATCTACATCATGCACAGGGGCGGATCCAGAGATATTTTCTGACAGTCTTCCAAATTATCCTTGTGGATCCATCCTTCATTTTTGACCGTCTTCCCACAGAAAAAGATAGATACCTGTCAATGTAAACTTGAAAATCTGACCGTCTTCTGGAAGACCCAGAAGACGGCCTGAATCCGCCCCTGATGCAGGTGCCATGGGATCATCTTAATAAATGAGCATTCTACACCCACGAAATGCGTTTTCAGACTAGACAGAAAATTTACTTGAAGTGTCCTCCAACTTTCTTATCAACTGAAGCAACAAAACTTGAAACAAAATCCACTGGCAGTGGTGAACTTTTTATCAACCAAATGCTTTAAATCTTTAAATCCAAGCTATAACAACAAATCAAGCCAACAATTATAATACCTAGAATATCGGGGAATAAACTGAAATGTACTGACTTATCAAATAACCCATGAAGTTTAAAACGTGGCTAGGTAAAATTGATCACACTTGTCCAAGTGACAAATACTAACAACAACTGATGTTGCAAAGGATTTGGAAGGATATTAAGCTATTTGTTAAACTCTTGTGACCATCAACTCGACTCTGGACTTTGGTTGGTTTAAAAAGACACAGCACATATATATCATATATAACAATCTTACAATGTTCAATCTTGTAAATGTAACACATAATAAAGCCATTAGATATATAAATAGTCAGAACATATACAGGTAGTGAGCAACCTCAGGTGAAGTGGTGGTTTAGAGTATATAATATTCAATTTATATCATATATTTATATATATGTTGGACGGATTCCCTTAGACCCCACAAAAAGTGATCACTGCAGATAAGCAAAATGGGTGCAACAGGCACAATAATATATATGTATATTAATATAAATATAATTCCACTAGTCGTGCTTGTAAATCATAAATACTACAGCGCATTAACAGTTAAATTTAAGCAGTTATGGTTTATATATCTTCTTTTAGTTTCACAGTATATCAGTCAAAATAATAAATGAAGCTTCCACAGAACTTGTTTTTGACATAACTCCTCTTTCAAAGTGAAAATGTTATAACTAATAATCTTTCCTTTGGAAAAGAACCATTTGGTCGCCCTATACTATGTAATTGCAATAGAAAAATACACTCAAAAAAAAAGAAGAAACACAATGAATATATAGCCATCTATAGATTTAAACCTTACAATCACTTCTTTATGCATTTTAATTCTTTTAAAATAAATAATAAGTAGAATCTGGACAAAAGTCTATTTCACACACTTTGACATCCGCCTGCAACAATGGGCAACTCAACTGTATACTGCACATATAAACAGTGAACTGTTCTCATGGTCAAAGTTTTTCTCATATTTTGTTAAGTTTCTCAGTAGCCTGCTACCCGAACAAAACACACAAGACATGCATATGTACAATACCAAGTCACAACCGTATTTCACTTCAATACAGACTGTATCAAACGGAACATGTTATACAAGAGGCCTGTATGTTAAAGTTTAGTTTTTCTTGCACTTGGTAAGGAGGAGAAGAGGGGTGGGGGATTGAAATGCAGCCTTATACTGGACAAATAAAAACATATTTTAAAGAGCATATAATTCCTGAATAAAGTGCTTATGAAATTATGCCTTGGTTATATTTTGCAGCCTTTTTACAGTTGCATCCAGACTGTTTACATAACTTCAAAACTCGGACACTAGGAGATGACACAACTGTATAATAAGGACTAGCCATTGTGAATATGAAAACTGTCATGAAATTTCTATAAATTCAATGCAGCTTACAAATTATGAAATTATGGAGGAGACACAGTATGTTTAGGTATATAGTTAGGGTAAGTGAAGATTTTCCGAGGGTTAACATTTTACATACAATTTTTGCAACGTTTCAAATGGTTTGCATTTGCTGAAGTTTATGAAAAATACTTCAACATTTTTGTCAACTTTCCATTTGAAGAAAAATATGTAATGTGGCTGATATGTAATATGCCCATGCATAATTAATGCCATACATGGCAAATTTGATTAATTTCAGATCCATACAGATTTTTTTTACACAAAAGTTTTCATATCACAACACACATTTTTTAAAATCACCAGAGAAAAGAAATAAACCAGGAACAGCAATTTACAATATATATCCATACTTTGGCAATCTCTACTTTCACAAGAAAAGTAGCAGGAATCAAGTAAGACAATAGATTGGTCCTATCAAACCTCACCATGTACACATATATATTTTAATACTCAAATATAATAAACACTCTCTATTCTTTATCTGTATCTATCTTGAGATCGTCAGCTTAAACTTCACAAAATATATACTTTTATTATGTCACCTAACTGACTCCTTAACAACCCATTAAAAATCCTTAGATTACGTTACTGCTGTTGTTGCTGCTGCTGTTGAAGAAAACTTGTGTGCATCTTTTTTGCTACTTCATATATATAAGTGATGTCTGGGCGCTGTTCTGGATCTGGGTTGATACACACTGCCACCAAGTTTCTGAGCTGAAAGTGCAAGGTAATATATTATTTCTGCTTTGGAAGACCCTTTTTTTTTTTTTCATTTTTCAGCCCAATATTTTTTCATTTTGGTCGTCAGTTTGCACCTTTATCTGTGAATGAATATCTCTTTGATCAAACATTTTATGAAATATAAACACTGCATTATAAGTAACATAACAGTGTACAAATATAATGCACACATGTATAAAATATATGTACATTTGATTAAGTTATTTTCTCAATATAAATATGGTAAATTCATAACCCCACTTAACACTTACTTCTTCTGAATAATGGTCTGATGGGAGAGGGGGATAGTCACATTGCTCAATCTTTTTGCACAAGGAATAAAGATTCATTTTGTCTCCATAGAAAGGAGACTGCAGTGCTGCCATCTGAAAACAAGACAAGACCAACATTACAATACAATCTGACATCTTCAGCACACGAACGAAACGGAGTGCCTCGATATGAAAACAGACAACTTTTGTGTTTTTAATCTCTAAATATTAAAAAAAATAAATCAAGTTAATAAATAGGCCGGGAACAAGAACTTATCATATTGTATATTTTATATTAACTATTATTGAAGATCATAATAATAAACGAGTTGCATTTCAATGTACTCCACGCTATGCTCTTTATTTAAAAATAGCAATTTTTACGAGATTACATATTGCATCGTATTGTTTGGTTCCATTGCCTCGCTTTCAAAAATTAGAACAGGCGCTCTAAAATCGTAAGACGAAGTTAAAAACTTTATATTGGCCGAGTTCGCCCCACGATAAGAAAATCCTTACAGCATTATATGCAATTAACCTTCCTACGATTTTTAATGTATTTTGCAATATTATTTTCAATCTGGCCCATAAAGAATTTTATTAAGCAAGATTGGGGGAGGGGTGAAAAATCCCCTTTGGGGCCACATATAACACTATAAATACAATGGAAATCCCCTTAAAATGAAGGTAAAATAAATGTTATTCTAAGGAATTCCGGCGGATTTACTTTTTACAACATAAAATCAATAGAACATTTCTAATATAAATTTTCAAAAAGACACCAGAGAGCAAATGAAATAAAATCAACCAGACGGTAAACACCGGCAGGCTTTGTCAATTTCACCAACTTGTTTATTTCAAACAGCGCACTTTTCGTGCATGCACAGTCGTTCGAAACCTGTGCTGACATCTTCAGCAATACTATGTTAGAAGCTTTAGCTTAACATCATTGAGTTGTCTTTCTACTTGTACTCTATTTTAAAATAGAGCACCTTGAATTACAGCCTTCCCTTTGAATTTAAAAAGTATTATTTGACTAACAATTATTTTCAAGAAAATCTTTCTTTCAATCATATCCCTAATTTTTTTCGTGACCTGCACCAATATGAGATCACAATTATTTTCAATGATAATAATTTGCCTAAATAACATAGTCTGATGCAAACATTTAGGCATTTCACAGAGTATAAGGGTCCCACAGTAATAGATAAAAGTAATGGACAATTCATAACCAAATGTGATGCAACTCTGATGTCTTAGAACACTTAGTTGCCCCTCACCTCATACAGCAGGCAGCCTAAAGACCAGATGTCTGACTTGAAGTTGTAGCCATTTTCATGTATCCTTTCTGGGGACATGTAGTATGGTGTGCCAACTAAAAAAAAAGAAGTTCTTTCTTATCTTAATGACAATTTTAATTTTTTTAATGAGCTCATAGTAGCATAAGATAACTTTCTGACACAGATTTAATGTTATGTATTTTTGCTAAATATAATGGAAAAAAAAAGATGACAAAGGGTACTTTTGCTAAATAAATATTCAAATACTTTTGACCAAGATTTCAACAGTTAGGTTAAATATTATACACTGAGCAAAAATAGAATCTCCCCATGTGATTTATTTATGTATTATGTAATGGGTAAATCCGATTGAGCTGATGTTAATCTGTAGCACACTGAACAACAATTCACTTTGTATGATTTAATATATATTACATTATCCATAATGCTGACAAAATGTTTAAAATTCAAAAATATTCTGAGGGGTGGTTACATATTTGCTCAGTGCTTATCATTCTACTATATATAAAGGTGGGCCTGTAATTACCCAAAGAATGTGCAGCTGTAGTTTTGGAGCTGAAGAACCTGCCCAGGCCCAGGTCCCCTAACTTCACCACTCCCTGTGCAGTGATGAATACATTGGCTGGCTTGATGTCTGAAACAATGAACAATACAAAACATCATAATAAAATCACATAAATAAGATCCAATGCTACTTGGTCAATTCAGCAAGCTTAGCTTCAGTTAAGATGCATGGATTCACTAAGGGAATATCTGATTTTTAAGGGTGTAGGGGCATTTCGTGACAGCAACAAGTCAATTCTTTTATGGTATGCCCCCCCCCCCCCACCTGTGTAGTCTTTTGAATTATGATATAGACTTAAACTTTTCAACTTCTACACTTACTTGACCTTTACCTCACAAAACTTTCGATCACTACCGTGACCTCCCTTCCTGACAGAATTTTTAATTACTAAAATATTGAGTTAAAGATTACTGAAAAATGAATACAGCCTACTCACCTCTGTGCATGATTCTTTTGGAATGCATGTGCTCCAGAGAACTGCAGATTTGTATGAAATATTTCCAGATTGTCCTCTCTGGGATCAGCCTGTCCTGTTTTTTGAAATGCTGTAAAATCAAGAATATACAACTTATAGTCATTTTCTGAAACTGCCAAACCAGTCATTTATGAATACTGATGGAATCAGTAACAAGGTGTCTACATGGAAGAGACCAAAATAGGTGCAACAGAACAAAATGATTATGTTACTTAGAAAAGATTTTGCAAGTGCCTTAAAGGTACATACGAATCGAGCATCGGTGGAGCGTGGATTCCCAAGTAACACATGTAAACCACTTCTACTAGATTCTTATATGACTCAAATAAATTCGACATGCCAAGGGATAAACTGAATAGATCACTCGATCAGCCATCAAAGACCTTTAGACTGCTCCTTTCTCTAAATTTTTGGTTGTAAAAATAACCTACTTCTGTGACCTACTTTCCTGCCCCATTGACATACAGCTTTGAATGCCAGCAGAAAAATCTGTTCAAACATCATTTTTGGGTAAAATTTAACAATGCCTTTTGGTAATTCTCTTAGTTATACTACTTGAAACTATATGTTGGCATTTGGTTGGTTTTTGTGACAAAAAATTGACTTTGTATGCATCTTTAACAGATTTTATACCCGTCTCATAAAAATCATGGTTATAGCTTTTAATCAGTTTTCACTGCAAATTTGTAAGTGTGGTGCCTTTTATCACAAAAACTGCTTTTTGCAATTTCTTTAGAGTTTCAACAAAAATATAAAGTGTATTTAAAAATGCTAGCCAACTGAAAAATATTACACTTCGTGTTTTACAGACAGACATTGACAGAATATAGCTTTAAGGCTAAATACACTATATTTAAATGGAGGCACTGAACTAAAAAGATGCCTCTGAACATTGGTACTTAAATCAAAATCTTCTCACTTTGATCATTCTAGATAAATCCCCAGCATCAGCTAACTCTAGGACTATATTCAACTCGTTGTCTTCTATAAACGAAGCCAAATATTTGATCACATTCGGATGATTAAGTTGCTGAAAAGAACAAAAATACAAAATATAATTATCATTCACAGTACATTTCAGGCACATATTTATCAATAGTTATACACCAGAATGAGGATATATATTTTGGACAAAAAAAAAAAAAAAGAAATATTCTGAATCTGTCAACTTAACTTTATTCTTCCACCAAAACAAATGATTTCATGCCTTGGACTTATAATACAAAACATACAATTGTTTTAAAATATACTAAACACAACCATACATGTGTTACCAGTACTAAACATAAATTATGTTTCATCCGATAGACAAAACATTTAGCTACTTCTTCAACATTCTTGTCCTAGGAGAGCATTTCCAAGATGACTAAGTTCACTAATATTGTAAACCAATACTGTAAATATACTGGTAGATCGTGTCTAGACAAATCAGTGCACTTATAAACAAGATCAGATCTATCAGGTAAAATATCACAGATAAAAGCACTTTGATTCCTTTTTTGTAAATTTCCCACATGTGTATCAGTATGACCACTGCCTGGTTTTGGAGTATTTTATCTTCAAATAAGTTCTAAATCACTGACAGTCTCAAACCGGGTACTAGTAGTAACGATTGTCTACTAAAAGTACAAGTTTCAAATCTCCATACAAACATACACAAAAGTAATCTTTTTTTCAAATGAGCAAATGTCCAAAGGAATACTATAACTCACAAGGAGCAAAGGGCATGTGGTAAAATGCATGTTAAAAATATCAAATTCCAGTCTCATAACAGGTGGACCATGATTCATCATAACACAACCTATTTTGTAAAAAAAACTTTTGAACTTTCCATGGAAATAAAAAATGACCTTTTAACAGATGTGGTGAAGAAACAAGATTCTTCACATGCTTCAGAGTGGAAGAAAAACATTCATCTTCTCAACTTTGTATGTGAAATACATTAAGGCCACTGGCCATATCTGGATATATATCTATAGGATATACAGAGGAGTGTTGAAAAAAAATTTAATCCTTTTAACTCTGCAAATACAAATGCAAAACTATTAATTCAGGGCAATTTTTAGGCCATGAAGGGTAAGATACCCCCCCCCCCCAAAACAAACAAACAAACAAACAAACAAACACACAAACAAACAAACACACACACACACACACTTATTGATGGCATACTAGTAAGCCATTGCAGATGATTCCATATACCACAGGACCGAGTGTTCTACATTATGTTGTTCTGGTTGATCGTATTCTACTTGAACCATTTTCTATAATCTTAATGACCCTATTAACAATACCTAGCTGATATCTCCTTGGTGATCAAACTTCTTTCAATATTAACCAGACAGCCATTTTCAATAACACATACTCACCTTTAACAGATCTATTTCTTTGATACAGTCTTGTCTGGCTTTGGCATCCATCATCTCAAATATCTGAATGGATCAATAAATGAAGACATAAACAGCATTTAAATACAATTTTCGCAACCATTTAACTTCCAAGTTATTTTATGTACAAATGAACATTTCAACATTAGGTAGCAGGTTTCATTTTTAACATATAGAGAATCAATACAAATTGCTTCAAATCCAAGATTTATTATTACAAGTTTTTCATAATTAAACTGATCTCAACTATATTCTTAATAAATAACAACATTATCATTATAACTTATTCATAATATCAATTATCTTGAGGGTGAATTTTACCCATGAACTTGGGATAGAGCAGTGTTTTACAGTGCAAATGCAAAACAAAACACACACATTAATAATATGAGACATAACAATAGTGATACACAGTGCAAGCAAGTGCCAGCCAAATCCAATACAACATTTCTCTGGTCCAAATGAAATCAATTGACTACTACTGGGTTTTAATCTAATGAATGATTCAAAATCCTAGCAGGATTATTTATTATGTCATTTTTCATACAAACATAGCAATGAGATTGACTTAATGTCTGAAAATGTCTGCAACAGTTAACTTGGCCATTTGGCTAGGTAACAAGGGTCACAAGAAGACTGAATTCCTTCAAAGTTTGAAAAGCCTCATGTCTGCCTATACTCGTTACTTCTTTTTTGAGAGAGAATTGCTAAAGCTCAAATCCATTTTTTCTACAAATCTGGTAATAATAAGTATAATAGCTGTTCTAGTTCCCAATATGCTAGTACAAGGTAGTTCAGAACAAAATCTTTAAAGTTTAACATATATATATATATATAATGCTGAATGCAATCTTGTAAAAAGCTCAAACTGCTGTGTTATTCATGTTGTTGGTTTGTGATATTGATAAGTAAGCTGTAATCCACATTTCAGTTGTTCATGTTTGGCACAGGTTGATTGTCCAACAATATAAATGACACAACATCTCATTATCCATTACCAATATATATCTGATTTTTATTCCTTTGTATTAAATGCCTAGTGAAACCAAGCTCCTCTGAAACAAGGTACGGACAAATCTTATGCATGTTCCTTAAGTGTCTTTATATGGCTCATTTAGTTTTAAAATGTTCATTTTTTAAAATCCAAATAATGAAATAAGGATATTTTAACTTTAAATAAAAGTAAAGTAATAAAAAAAGTTTAACGAAATGACTTGTCTAGGAAATACAAGCAAGTGACACAACACGACAGTCTCTTCTAAATATGGAACAAAGAAAAAAGTTCAACTTGAGAAAACATTATGTCAGCTGACTCAACAAGAAATAATGGTCTAAATGATCAAAGCCATCCTTCTAGTCAAACTGTTGTTTTCAGTCTATAATGTCTTAGGTTATTGAATTTCAAGCTTGCTATGCTTTACTATTCAATTCTATTAATGAAAGGGCGAGGCGTGAAACACCAGTGATCAATACATTGATTCAGTCTCTCAGTGCGACTGGAAGCAGTTTAATAAACTTGACATGGCCCAATCGTTCAACACACAATATATTGTAAACTTTCATCTACATAAATGATTGTAAATGGCAAATTGATGCAAAACTTTCTAGGCAGTTATTCATTTCATTCTGCAAGCTTCAGAAAAGAAGTTATGATTTATTTACCATGCATGATTTTATCAGTAGAGAACACAGGCTTACCTACTAGTACATGTCAGGCAATGAATTTTTTCATAAATACACCAAAGAATGAATACAAAACCAAAATGTTTATTAATAATGATTGCAAAATTAAAAAAAATTTTGATTAACAAGAACAAATCAAACTGCACTGCAATGTTATAAGAATCACAGGAAAACCTATAGCCTTTAGTTTGTTAACTATTGTAAGACCCCCAGTTTTTCTAATGGCAGAGCATGGGTTTTCCTTACCTGCACTTTTTTCAGGGCAATTGCACTGCCATCTGTCTTACATCTTGCCCTCCACACTTCACTAAACTGACCCTTGCCTATCTTTTTGTCAATCTCAAAGCTTGACAGAGTGCAGTACATGTTATTGGGGTCATTGGTGGGGACGGGAAGGTCACACTCCATACTCTCCATGGTGACTACTTCAATTTACAGATCAGAGGTCAAGGTCAAGGTCACAGTGTCAAGGTCAACTTCATGTCATATCATTCCAACACTACTGAGTCTAGGTAGAAATATGTTTCTATCTACTGAACACACCGTACATTACTGACAACCTAAAAAGAGAAAAGACACACACTCAAGAGTTAATATTGATCAGACCAGTAAAAATCAAAACCAATCTATTGTGAACTACTCAAAAGACTGCTGTTGAAAGAAAGCACTTTTTCCATGGGCCACTTGTCAAGAAAGACTGTTTTCTCACAATGTTGAAAGGAAAGTGACATAACGAAATGGGCTGAAAATGTCAAACTTCTCAGCATTAAGTTCAAAAGTGCTTTCTTACATCAGATTATGCTGCTTTTGGCTGAATTTCTAACCTTGAATAATAGGCAATGTTATGTAATTATTAAAACTCCAACCAACTTTCCATACATATTATTTTTTTCACCTATTCAAAAATAAGATGAGCTTGAGCTTGTTTCAAAACACAATGCCCACCAGGTCAAGGTTTTAAGTTCATTCAAAAACAGCTTTCAAAACACACAATAAAGGGGACCTGCTACTGCCTATGTACAGTCTGGCCTACTGTCAATATACCTGGACTTTTTTCAATGCAACAGGTATGTTGTTGATTTTATTCACAGCCCTATAAACAACACTGAACTGGCCCCGGCCAACTTTCTTTTCTATTTCAAAGTTGACAAGCCTGCTATAGATGTCATCCTGATGCTGCTGCACCCCTTCATAGACCTCTGTCTCCATTGCCTCTTCAGCCATGGTGAAAATTCTGAAAGTTGTCACTCATTTCGTTATTTTAAAATTCTTCTTATTTATATTGAAAATCAAGGTTTAATATCTTTGTGGGACTGAAAGAAAATCTTACCAAATGAAAACAAAATAGGACAAAACTGAAAACATATGATACCTGTAATAAATGTTCATCATACAATTGTTAATTAACAAATCTGACACATTTTACACAATAAAAACATACTCATTCAAGAGTGAATTACTCTTCATAATGGAAACAAACTTGTCAGTTTGGAATTTTGTAATGAACAAATACCAACAGAGCTGTAGAGAATGGAATTCAGTAAAATATATAATCCGCAAAAAAATTAAATCAACTTAATAAATAAGTAAATAAATAATCCCTTCAACTGCCACCCCCTCACTCATTCACTTGCTAAGCTTACTGGTCTCAAGCAAAATATGAATCCTAAACACAGCACTGCTATCATAACCAACAGTTCAATTAAGTTCAATCTGATAACATGCATCATTAACTGCACTTAAAGCTCTAAGTTAAGACTAGAGCAAATTTAGCCAAACTATATTTAATGACATATTTGTTCAAGATTTGGATCTATGTCATGCTGTTGGCTTAGAAATAATCAAAATCGCTATCCTGATAAAACACAGGTGACATAAGATGCCTGGGAATTTTGATTACGATTAACATTGACAGATTTGACGCCAAAGGTAAATGATTGAATCAATTATAATATTGATGATTCATTTTGCAATGCCGCACTCAGTAGTTCGTAGCTGTGCATACCAACAAGGTACTATGATTTTTTTCTTTCTGTTTTTATCGAGTATCACACCACTTATACAGCCAAAATGTCGCCACTTAGACTTATACCCCGTTCACACTATGCTCAGTTATCCGGATAAATTGCGAATTAGGTCACAATTCGAATAAATGCAGTAGTGTGAACGCAAGAGGATTTTTGTAATGCGCATTTTCAAAATCCTGCAAGCGAGGTGGATTTCTAAGCGCGATCCGGATAACTTACCGGAATCGACACCTGTACAGATTCTACTGCGCATGTGTGCTGATAAGTGCGGATATCTATGAACGCTTGTTTATTACTTTAGCGATTGCACCAAACGTATTTGGAGGTCACCACTCACTACAACATGAGGAAACAAACTTATTTTGCCACCTTATACTTCTCAAGAATGCTGGAATGTCTTCTGAGTTGCATTTGTCGTCACAAATTTTTGTTGGTATTTTAAGATTTCCTGTGCGGCGCATGCGCGAGTGTTCAAAACAGGAAGTTAAACCTGAAATTTTCAACATGGGATTCGGATTCGCTTAGCGAGTGTGAACGCAATACCGAATCGGATTCCTTACGAAAAATCCGAATTATAGAAATGCGCATTTTGGCAACTGTAGTGTGAATGGGGTATAAATTTACTCACAGTCTATCAGAATCACAACATACAGTCATCGATATGATTGATGGCAGACAGACCGTCGGCGACTGTCTTGATTTTTTTGCCCAACCTACTTACGTGACAGTCAAGTACAAACTTGCGCAAGGAATGATGTACTGCACGTTTAATCCAAGTGCAACGTTTGGCGTTGCCCTCCTCAAACTTATTTTACAGGCCTGGCCTTTCAAAAGTTCAGCCCAAAAGATTTTCTCTGAACTTGTTTCACCTCCGCTTCCTCTAGATGCCAAGCAACTTATCCCAGCATGCAATGCTTATCATTAGTAAAATTTGGACTTCCGGTTTATACTCCCTTGGGCGGAACGAAAACGAGTTGTTACCATAAATGTAAAAGATAGATTACATTGATAACAGGAAATTAAATTAAGCTGAAGTACATTTCTGTATTTTTTGCATCTCCTTTTGGCATATCTGACAGAAAGTGGATTCATCCAGGTTATCCTCACCTCGCGACAACCAAGGAGTGATTTACGTAACTCCTTACACCACCTAAGCTAGTTTATATTGTTTTGGAGGTTTATTTGGGTTTAAAGAGGTTAACAGCAGCCATTCATAGGTCCCTGTTAATGAAATACCAATAAACTATATTATGATTGATTGATAAAAAACATGCTAAGAATCTGCTACATTTCAAAAATTAGGTGTACATTAAAGGTGCACTAGGGTGAGAGACAAATTGACATTCTTTCAACGTATTCTGAATCATTAATTTTCAAAAATTGATCCAAATTAAATGAGTAAATAAAATGAAAATATGGACCCTTTTTCATTCATGCAGTGGCAAAATTGCACTTTATTTGTGGCTCGTTTTCAGCAAAAAGATCATGTAGATACTTATAACAACATTTAAACTAGAATTCCTGATGGAATTATATACACAAACATACATACAAGCAAATACACAAATAACTTGCTTTTATTGTGTGAATATTTAAAACAATGCAAACAATGACTTCAAAGCAAGACTTATACATTTTAATACAATATTTATTGTTCATTTAGTACAAAAAAATGTAATAATAAGCTACGGGTGTTGACTTCTGCTCAATTCTCATCTAGAATAATATAGATGCTTTCTCTGAAATTCTTTTAAAAATTCAAATTTCACAAGGCTTCGTACTGCATTTATTTAAGGAAATGTGCCCCAGTCCTAACATTTACTGTCAAGCATTTTTCATTGAAAGACTTCACACTGCACTGTAAAGCAGTACTTAATCATCTGCGTGTTCATTTTTTTCACCGACATCATTCACATACATAGATCTCCAAACTTCTGAAGTTATAAAACTTGTCACATGGTTACTCTTCCGTAGGTGTTGCACACATGCAAGGTATTTGATACATGAATGTTATGGAAGTAAAGCTCTTTCCCTTAAGAGACCTCCATAGGCTCAGAGACAATCTGAGTGTCCAGTATTTCCAACTCGAGAGGCTTCACTTCACTGGTCAAGACTGCTGTAGTGCCTGGCTTGTACTTGTATGACCCTTGTCTGAAAATAATCAGCCAAAAATTTTGTTCAATTCATGAACCAGGAAGTCGACGTTATAACTAACTAAACTGAGCCTAAGTGTGAGACCCAGTGTATTCTTTTTTAATGATTCCTATCCTAATAAACTGCTCCTGAATCATTTCTTTCTGTAATTAAAATTGCAATATAGCTAATGTACCAAATTCTGAGAAAAATCCTTGTTCATTCAACAAACAATTATATTTTCTGGTGTAAAAAATGACAAATTTCATTTTATATTCAAACCATCCAAGTGGATTGATTAACAAATAACTGTCAACCTACCTCTTTCCCTTGAGATTAGCTTCATCATAAGGTCTGATATAATCCACCTTGTCTTTGGTGATAATACACAAATCCACATTACTGCCAGAGCCCAAATCATTAAAAATACCTGCAGCTATAGCATCCCGCACTAATTTCATTCCTTCTTCTTTCTGGAATACCAAGGCATGAGATATAAAATTCCCTATGCAGAATAGCCAATGATGACATATTTTAAGTTAAGGTGGGTGCATGAAGTGGAATAATGTTGAAGACAAGTCATACACTTTTGCTTGCTATCTTGCTGAGGAGAAAACAACAGCTGGATGACAGAACAGAAAATTTGCCTCTGACTGTATATTATTATCACGGTTTCAAGTGTATTCTATTGTTTATTTGTGAGGCTAAAATCAAACAGTCTTGAAATTTTGAAAATGCAGTGAATAAGTTATATACATCAAAGAAAAATGGAAAAATCTAAGAATTTAATCAATTAACTAAAATATATATATTTGCAATTATATATGTATTTGTTTTCTGTTTGGCCTCAGCGAATTCCTATCTACTTACCTCCATATCTGGCTTGTATCTTGATTCAAATACTGACATAGCAGCCAAGGACCCAGATCCTGAAAAAAAGGGTAAAAAATTGATGTCAAATCTAATTCATATAGAAAAATAAGTAATTTTTAACACGACAATAGCAAAAAGGTTATGCCTTTGGTCCATAGATTGACAAATTGGTTTGTGACACACAATGACATACTTTGCCACTTACAAAAAATTGCAAAGACATAAGTTCAGACCAACAAAATCCTCTGATCTGTTTCCCTTTACAAGTCATAGTCTGCATTAAATCAAATCTCTAAGTTATCACCTATTTCATATTAATTCATATCATAACAACAGAATGGCTGCCCTACCCATGGTTACATATGGCAGCTTATCCGTGGAACCATGAGGGTAGACACTGTAGAGGTGGGGCCCCGTGGGATCCACCCCACCCAGAACTAATGCTGCACTGATATAACCTTGATACCTAAAACCACACACAACAGCAACATAAATACTATTAATACATATATAGCTGATGGCTAGAAAGCCAAAACGACAATACAATGTGTGTGCGCGCATGTGTGTGTTTACGTGTTCATGTGTAATAATGTAGAAAATAATGACCCCATAAGAGGGTCTTATATCCAGGACTTAATGTTCTATGATTTTATCAACATAACATAAGTAAGCAGGACTATCAGACTGAGAATGGACTTGATAGCAGAGATAAAAAGTCGTCATTGAAAAAAATAAAAATTAGAAAAAGCAAGCACCCAAGACAACAGCTACGGAGGCCAGAAGAACATACATACATACAACACTGAAATATCTACAATTATGGATAAACAGGAAGTACTTTCACCACTGTTATAATAAATGCTATGCACACTTATGACCATTATTCAACAGCTTTTGATCAATTTTCAAAATCAGCACCACTGTAGGTGATTGTGGGTACGTATACAAAGAGTAAATATTACTGTTACGTTTTCTTTGACCTGTTTTTACATTCAGACAAGCCTGCATGGATAGGATTTCAGCACAATCTCTTTTTCTGCCTACCTCCACAACATCTGCTTCAGCATCCTGTTGGCTGTACACACGCGGGGCACTCTCCCGGTGTTCAGTCTGTGGAGTTCAAGGTTAGACGAGATCATCTGAGTGGTCATCTCTGTGTCTGCTGCTGTCCCTGCCCCACAACAGCTAGAATATATATATCATAATGTATTATTTATGATCTTCAATTAATGCTATATCATCAATTTGATAACATTAAGAGATCAAAGTCCATGTGCTTAATCTAATACCATGCTCCCGCATTAGAAAAAAAAACAACATTTTAATGAATATGAAAAATTAATGTATTTCCAGATACTGAAACTGATGTGATTATAATTTCTTCAATACCTGACGAGTCCTACTATATAAAATATAATTTGGAATGCTTTTTAAGCTTAAAAGCATGAAGAACTATTGACAATGTACTATAATTAGACATATTTAGCATCACTACTATGGACTTGAATGTCATCATGATGACTCACTATATATTTGGGGCTATGAAATGTATTTTGGAACAATTTTTATCTGCAACAATGGTGTCTTCTGTAGCTCTTGTGTCAGCTCCTAAAATTACACCATCCTGTAAAGAAATTTATAAAAAAAAATTAAATAAAATAAGCAAATAATTGCACACTATATACATAGTTTTATTTTCATTTTTTTCCTCTAATTTCATAAAAAAAAAATCAAAAAATTATTGCATTTCTAGTACTAACATGATAAAAACTTCTGTTCTTTTAACAACAAATCAGGTAAAATATGACATTGAAAGAAGATGCACAATGCAATAAGGGTAAAGAACAGAAATCACCAACACTTGACCAAAACAGTTTCTGACAAACACAAACACACCAGAGAATGCCAATGAACAAACCTTAAATATTATTCCACAGATAGTTGTTCCAGTTTTGTATGCAGTGGGAGCCTTCATACCTTTCTGTGCAAGCAAAGCATTTCTAGAAAAAAAAAAAAATGTGTGACTGATCGTTCCACAAAGATTTGTATTCACCAATTTCACAAAAGCACAATTTTGTTGGTTAATGACAAAAATTCCATCCTCATCGTGGATGCTTGAGAGTTGTAAGGTGACAGTTTCAAACACAGTATCACTAAATTTCGTTACTACATTATTATTAGTTACTATATTATTATTAGCAATTTTTCGAGATTTTGCATATCATTGTGTGGCCACAAGTATATAGATCTTATTTAAATGTGACAACAATAAATCCTTAAATGTGAGGCATTTTTTCGATTCCAAATATATTGACCGACAGGCTAGTGTCAGTGCAGGTAACACTATGTGTCTCACCTTTTGCAATTTTCAAAGGAAAAGCCTCCTCTTGGAGGATCCACAGCAAGTGCGGCCATGATTTGGTTTATTGTGTAAAGCTGCGCATAAGACTGCGCAGGAAATAGTAGCTTCGGCCTCCGAATTTTTTCTTTACAAAACAACGGATTTCTCATCCGGAGAAACATTTATTATTCCAACGATAAATTTATTTAACTTGATAAGTATTTTTATCTGAAAAAATTGAACATAAACAAAAGTATGTCAAATATCACTGCCTGTAAATTATACATTTTTCTTTATCACTTCCGGTTTTGGTGGTGTGGTAAATTTGAAGCACAAGAATCATGGAGTTGCCTGTTAAAATGTAGTTCGCAAAATTGATCTTCACAGATTTTACCTTTGATTAGTTTTGTTTCATAGGTAAAATGATAAAGAGAAGATGGCAACTATGGTTTTTAAAACTCCAGGAGTCTCCGAAGTCTGAGAAGTTCGGGCATACACGAGTTGAGGGCAGAGGCAGCGGTGAAAACACTGAACAGTGATTTGAAGGTAAATGTTCCTCCCTTTTCTTCATACAAGATGTTTTCAACTGAGCATGGGCGCATTATGCACAGGTCTTAATTATATTGCAGGGGCGTAACAAGACCTTTTTTTTAAAAATGGTACGCACAGATTTTCAAAATTCCCAGGAACAGCTAAATGTAGATTTACGCAACAGGTGAAGGGCATCTTAAATTTTATGTGCCAAATATCATAGATTAGTTTTCACCATAAATAAAATCATCACTTAAGGTTTAAAGATGCATACTAAGTCAATTTTTTGTCACAAAAACCAACCAAATGCCAGCATATAGTTTCAAGTAGTATAACTAAGAGAATTACCAAAAGGCATTGTTTAATTTTACCCGAAAATGATGTTTGAACGGATTTTTCTGCTAGCATTCTATGCTGTATGTCAATGGGGCATTAAAGTAGGTCACGAAAGTAGGTTAAATTTCTGACCAAAAATTTAAAGAAAGGAGCAGTCTAAAGCTTTTTTTATGGCTGATTGAGTGATCTATTCAGTTTATCCCTTGGCATGTTGAATTTATTTGAGTCGTATAAGAAACTAGTAGAAGTGGTTTACATGTCTTACTGGGAATCCACGCTCCGCCAATGCTCGGTTCGTATGTACCTTTAAGATATTCCCACTATATAATTAAGTTCCAGTAACTGTATATTACTTCACCCAGAACCAACTCTTTTGTTAGGTCGTCCAAAATTTCCATCTGTACATGTAATTTCCTTGAACATTTTAGGGCGTCCAACTTTTTCAAGTACCATGAGGGGGAGGAGGGGTAAAAATTTAATGAAAAAAAAAAATGTATGAAAAAGGAATAAACTTCAAGGGGGAGGGAGGGTTAAAAATAATCAATAACGATCTCCTGCTGACGCCTTTTCACAAAAGGGTATCAGGACAATTCCCTCCCCCGGACAATTCCCCCCCCGGCCAATCCCCCCCCCCCCCCCGCACGATTCCCCCCGAAGAATATATATATTTATATATTTATATACAAATATAAAGTAAAGAGTACAAAGTTCAAATCTTTTCATCCATTTTCTGAATATTTCTTAGTGTGATGATGCAAATCAAGGATAGATAATATTATTTTTATTAAACAAATTATTTTCATGGAGTACAAATACATAAAATTTTCGAGATCAAAGTACAGAACTTTTTTTTTTTTTTAAATCTGATCAAAGTATATCTCCAGGTAAAGGAGGGGTAAACAGATGATATCACTCATCCAGGTAGCCCTTTGATGAATTAACTGTTACTTTTAATTGCTTTATTTCTCCCCCCTTGATTGAGTAAGTCTTGAATAAAGAAGCATCTCTAGGGAGAGGTGGGGTAAACAGATTTTCTCGCTTATTCAGGTATCCCTGTGACTATTTGTCACTTTTAATTGCTTGACCACTATCCACCACCCACCACACTAAAAATATTTATAAAATATCTGACAGTGTTTACCTGTTCATCTGTTTACCCCACCTTGACCTGAAGGATAGGTGGTTATACTTCGATTAGATATTTAATAAATCTTCCTGTACTTGTACTCATTGAAAAGGGAATTTGTTATAAAATAATTTGTTTCATGATAAAGTTGTATTATCACACTAAAAATATTAATAAAATGGATGACATGTTTTATACTTTACACTTTCTACTTTATATTTATATATAAATATATATTTCTTGGGGGGGAATCGTCCGGGGGGAGAATTGTCCTGGGGCGGAATTGTACGGGGGGAATAGTTCGGGGGGGGGGTGGGGAATTGTCCTAGAATCTCACAAAAGAACTCCCTTAAATGAATATGAAAATTGCTCTTTGTCTCCCACAGATCGCGAACGATCTCCGACTTACAATATTCCACCTACAAAGTCTCTTGAACGGATATGAAAAATGCTTTCTCATTACGCTTGCATCGTGATGGATCTCCCACTGAAGATATAGGTACAAAAATTACCTTCTCCTCTAGCTAGGGTCGGCAACTATATCTTGCTCCCAATCTTTGGCTAACGAAAGCTCTTGAACAGATTTGAAAATTGCCTTCTCATCTCTTTCGGATTGTGAATGATATATCGCTGATGATAGTCCATCAGAAGTCCTGTTTTAACTCTCCATCTAGCTGGAACACAAAGCTGGAGAAAACCAGTTTATTGGCACTATCATACTGTCACATCTGCTAATACTGTCATTGATTGTCATTTCAGATGGATTTATATACCCATGTAGTAAGTGCACAATGTATGTGGATTCTGCATACATGCAGACTGCCATAACTCTGTCAGTGTTATGCATATACATGTAATTCCTACTCTCATGTAAGCTTTTGGGTCTGTTGCTTGCTCTGACAAAATACAGGGATCCAATGGCTTCGTTTGTCACTCTATCAGACAGTATCGTAGAGGAGAACAATGAGACGAAGCTAGCTCAGTTAGTACAGCAAATGATTCAGTATTGTTCTACTTCTGGAAAACCAGAGGCTGTCCCACAGAATCTGTTGTTGAAGTTAATTACAATGCTGAATGTGGACTACATGTTGTCACTGAAGACCATGGCATGTGCTTTATTAAGCCTGTTATGCCATAATGATCCAGATACAAAGGTAACATTATTATACAGGGTACCAGTACAGCAAGTTTAAGCTTTAAAAAAACAGTATGCTTCAATAGAAGAAGTGCCATAATGGTAACATACTGTTGGAATCATGTTAATAAAGTAAAATGATACATTATTGTGAGATGCTATCGTTTGCTTATTTAGTCATTTACATTACAAAATCAGTTATATCAGTGATTCCATTTTTTTTACAATCTATTTCATATATACAAATTGCTGACCTGTATTTCATGTGAGATATAATCCTTATACCCAATAAATTTTTGTTTGCCTCAGTTTGTCATGATTTATATCAGCTCTATGTTTAACATAATGTAGGTGGCTGTGGTCAAGAAGGAAGTTCTAAGGCCCATTTGGAACACATGCACACACGTATGTCGAGATGGACTACCAGACTTGGAATCTTCTAGTCATAAAAGACTCCTTCAGTATCTGGAGCAGATGGTGCTGCTGTTACGTAAACTCTCCTATGGGGAGGCATACAACCAGTTTCAAATACTCAAAGCCGGACTGATCAAATTGCTTTTGCAGATAGCAGATATGCAGAACTTGTATTTTTATACATATCATCCAGAAGCTGTAAGCTTCTTAAGAAATTTTACCAAGGAAAAAGACCTAATTGGCAAGGTATCACCACTTGTTGATGGAGAGAAAGAGGAGATACTTTCCCAGTACCTAAAATGTGACTCCAACAGCATACTTCAGTCTGCATCATCTTTCGTTGTTGAACTTTATGATACCACTGATAAAACCGTTGATGTTGTAGTAAAAGAGGAAATGCTAAAGCGAGGACTTGCATGGCCAGAGATAAAGCCTCCTTTAAATACTCAGAAAGAGCAGAATCAGAAAATTTCCCAATCAGAATATTTGGTGTCAGGTGATGAGATAAAGGTAAAATTGCTTGATGAAAGATTGATGACAAAAAACATTATTATTAAAATTGCATGTAAACATACTACTACGTGTACATGCTTAACTTCTGGATTTGAAATACAGTATGTTAATGAGGACTTCAACTCTTCCCCAAAAATACATCAAGTTGAACATAAATTGTGTTCACATTTGTTGTCATATTTACCATCATATCATTTATTGTAAGCTCACAAATTTGTGAATCCCTTTGACTGCACAGCTATAATAAACCTGTGTTTCTTCAGGATATCCCAGAGAGTACAGATGACTGGTTAGATATCAGAGTCAGCCATGTTATCAGCCCTCAGTACTTCATGGCATATGTGGGAGGACAGGACACTCTGAGCACAGTAGAACAAGTCCAGAAGACAATAGCAGAGCAAGTAGACAGCAAAGGGGTGAAACTGAAAAAGCCTCCAGAACCTGGCCAGTTTGTGTGTGTCACATTGGATGGGATGGGACACTGCCGTGGACAGGTGGGGGACATGAGTGACAGTGACAAAAGGGCTCATTCACTATGAAACTATGNTTTTTATTGTGTGAATATTTAAAACAATGCAAACAATGACTTCAAAGCAAGACTTATACATTTTAATACAATATTTATTGTTCATTTAGTACAAAAAAATGTAATAATAAGCTACGGGTGTTGACTTCTGCTCAATTCTCATCTAGAATAATATAGATGCTTTCTCTGAAATTCTTTTAAAAATTCAAATTTCACAAGGCTTCGTACTGCATTTAATTAAGGAAATGTGCCCCAGTCCTAACATTTACTGTCAAGCATTTTTCATTGAAAGACTTCACACTGCACTGTAAAGCAGTACTTAATCATCTGCGTGTTCATTTTTTTCACCGACACATCATTCAAATACATAGATCTCCAAACTTCTGAAGTTATAAAACTTGTCACATGGTTACTCTTCTGTAGGTGTTGCACACATGCAAGGTATTTGATACATGAATGTTATGGAAGTAAAGCTCTTTCCCTTAAGAGACCTCCATAGGCTCAGAGACAATCTGAGTGTCCAGTATTTCCAACTCAAGAGGCTTCACTTCACTGGTCAAGACTGCTGTAGTGCCTGGCTTGTACTTGTATGACCCTTGTCTGAAAATAATCAGCCAAAAAATTTGTTCAATTCATGAACCAGGAAGTCAACGCTATAACTAACTAAACTGAGCCTAAGTGTGAGACCCAGTGTATTCTTTTTTAACGATTCCTATTCTAATAATAAACTCTTCCTGAATCATTTCTTTTTGTAATTAAAATTGCAATATAGCTAATTTACCAAATTCTGAGAAAAATCCTTGTTAATTCAACAAACAATCATACTGGTGTAAAATATGACCAATTTTATTTTATATTCAAGCCATCCAATTTGAATGATAAACAAATAAGTGTCAACCTACCTCTTTCCCTTAAGATTAGCTTCATCATAAGGCCTGATATAATCCACCTTGTCTTTGGTGATAATACACAAATCCACATTACTGCCAGAGCCCAAATCATTAAAAATACCTGCAGCTATAGCATCCCGCACTAATTTCATTCCTTCTTCTTTCTGGAATATCAAGGCATGAGATATAAAATTCCCTATGCAGAATAGCCAATGATGACTTTTGTTAAGTTAAGGTGGGTGCATGAAGTGGAATAATGTTGAAGACAAGTCATACATTTTTGCTATCTTGCTGAGGAGAAAACAACAGCTGGATGACAGAGCAGAAATTTGTCTCCGACTATATATTATTATCATCATGGTTTCAAGTGTGTTCTATTGTTTATTTGTGAGGCTAAAATCAAACAGCGTTGAAATTTTGAAAATGCAGTGAAACAAGTTATATACATCAAAGAAAAATGGAAAAATCTAAGAGTTACATCAATTAACTAAAAAATATATATTTGCAATTATACATGTATTTGTTTTCTTTTGGACCTCAGCGAATTCCTATCTACTTACCTCCATATCAGGCTTGTATCTTGATTCAAATACTGACATAGCAGCCAAGGACCCAGATCCTGAAAAAGTGGGTAAAAAATTGATGTCAAATCCAATTCATATAGAAAAATAAAAAATCTTTAACACGACAATAGCAAAAAGGTTATGCCTTTGGTCCATAGATTGACAAATTGGTTTGTGACACACAATGACATACTTTGCCACTTACAAAAAATTGCAAAGACATAAGTTCAGACCAACAAAATCCTCTGATCTGTTTCCTTTTACAAGTCATAGTCTGCATTAAATCAAATCTCTAAGTTATCACCTATAATTCTGTTTCATATTAATCAATATCATAACAACAAAATGGTTGCCCTACCCATGGTTACATATGGCAGCTTATCCGTGGAACCATGAGGGTAGACACTGTAGAGGTGGGGCCCTGTGGGATCCACCCCACCCAGAACTAATGCTGCACTGATATAACCTTGATACCTAAAACCACACACAACAGCACCATAAATACTATTAATACATATATAGCTGATGGCTAGAAAGCCAAAACGACAATACAATGTGTGTGCGCGCATGTGTGTGTTTACGTGTTCATGTGTAATAATGTAGAAATAATGACCCCATAAGAGGGTCTTATATCCAGGACTTAATGTTCTATGATTTTATCAACATAACACAAGCAAGCAGGACTATCAGACTTAGAATGGACTTGGGACCTGATAGCAGAGATAAAAGTCTTCATTGAAAAAAAAAAATTAGAAAAAGCAAGCACCCAAGACAACAGCTACGGATGTCAGAAGAACATACAAACAACACTGACATATCTACATTTATGGATAAACAGGGAGTACTTTTCATCACTGTTATAAGAAAAGCTATGCACATTTATGACCATTATTCAACAGCTTTTGATCAATTTTCAAAATCAGCACCACTGTAGGTGATTGTGGGTACGTATACAAAGAGTAAATATTACTTTTACGTTTTCTTTGACCTGTTTTTACATTCTGACAAGCCTGCATGGATAGGATTTCAGCACAATCTCTTTTTCTGCCTACCTCCACAACATCTGCTTCAGCATCCTGTTGGCTGTACACACGCGGGGCACTCTCCCGGTGTTCAGTCTGTGGAGTTCAAGGTTAGACGAGATCATCTGAGTGGTCATCTCTGTGTCTGCTGCTGTCCCTGCCCCACAACAGCTAGAATATATATATCATAATGTATTATTTATGATCTTCAATTAATGCTATATCATCAATTTAACAACATTAAGAGATCAAAGTCCATGTGCTTAATCTAATACCATGCTCCCGCATTAGAAAAAAAAACAAAACATTTTAATGAATATGAAAAATTAATGTATTTCCAGATACTGAAACTGATGTGATTATAATTTCTTCAATACCTGACGAGTCCTACTATATAAAATATAATTTGGAATGCTTTTTAAGCTTAAAAGCCTGAAGAACTATTGACAATGTACTATAATTAGACATATTTAGCATCACTACTATGGACTTAAATGTCATCATGATGACTCACTATATATTTGGGGCTATGAAATGTATTTTGGAACAATTTTTATCTGCAACAATGGTGTCTTCTGTAGCTCTTGTGTCAGCTCCTAAAATTACACCATCCTGTAAAGAAATTTATAAAAAAAATTAAATAAAATAAGCAAATAATTGCACACTATATACATAGTTTTATTTTCATTTTTTTTCCCTCTAATTTCATTAAAAAAAAATTAAAAAATTATTGCTTTTCTAGTACTAACATGATAAAAACTTCTGTTCTTTTAACAACAAATCAGGTAAAATATGACATTGAAAGAAGATGCACAATGCAATAAGGGTAAAGCACAGAAATCACCAACACTTGACCAAAACAGTTTCTGACAAACACAAACACACCAGTGAATGCCAATGCACAAACCTTAAATATTATTCCACAGATAGTTGTTCCAGTTTTGTATGCAGTTGGAGCCTTCATACCTTTCTGTGCAAGCAAAGCATTTCTAGAAAAAAAAATGTGACTGATCGTTCCACAAAGATTTGTATTCACCAATTTCACAAAAGCACAATTTTGTTGGTTAATGACAATGCTTGTCACAAAAATTCCATCCTCATCGTGGATGCTTGAGAGTTGTAAGGTTACAGTTTCAAACACAGTATCACTAAGTTTCGTTACTACATTATTATTAGTTACTACATTATTATTAGCAATTTTTCGAGATTTTGCATATCATTGTGTGGCCACAAGTAAATAGATCTTATTTAAATGTGACAACAATAAATCCTTAAATGTGAGGCATTTTTTCGATTCCAAATATATTGACCGACAGGTTAGTGTCAGTGCAGGTAACACTATGTGTCTCACCTTTTGCAATTTTCAAAGGAAAAGCCTCCTCTTGGAGGATCCACAGCAAGTGCGGCCATGATTTGGTTTATTGTGTAAAGCTGCGCATGAGACTGCGCAGGAAATAGTAGCTTCGGCCTCCGAATTTTTTCTTTACAAAACATCGGATTTCTCATCCGGAGAAACATTTATTATTCCAACGATAAATTTATTTAACTTGATAAGTATTTTTATCTGAAAAAATTGAACATAAACAAAAGTATGTCAAATATCACTGCCTGTAAATTATACATTTTTCTTTATCACTTCCGGTTTTGGTGGTGTGGTAAATTTGAAGCACAAGAATCATGGAGTTGCTTGTTAAAATGTAGCTCGCAAAATTGATCTAAACAGATTTTACCTTTGATTAGTTTTGTTTCATAGGTAAAATGATAAAGAGAAGATGGCAGCTATGGTTTTTAAAACTCTAGGAGTCTCCGAAGTCTGAGAAGTTCGGTCATACACGAGTTGAGGGCAGAGGGCAGAGGCAGCGGTGAAAACACTTAACAGTGATTTGAAGGTAAATGTTCCTCCCTTTTCTTCATACAAGATGTTTTCAACTGAGCATGGCCGCATTATGCACAGGTCTTAATTATATTGCAGGGGCGTAACCAGACCTTTTTTTAAAAATGGTACGCACAGATTTTCAAAATTCCCAGGAACAGCTAAATGTAGATTTACGCAACAGGTGAATTAGGGCAGCTTAAATTTTATGTGCCAAATATCATAGATTAGTTTTCACCATAAATAAAATCATCACTTAAAGTTTAAGATANCACACCTATCAGCAATCAACTTCTTGCCAACACATTAGGAGCACTGTGCAATCTATGCCAGGAGAAATATGTCCTAGGTGAGAGACTTTCTGAATGAACCATGATTGTTTGTTTGTTTGTTTAATATTTAGTAATATGAAATTTTCAGTAAGATTACTTAAATAAATACGAATTTTTAGACAGAGTCATTTATATAACAAAATGGATATAAATATATTGATTTCTTTTGATGTTCTTATGATTCCCTATTGCTGCAATATAAAGTAAGATTATTTAATTAAGAATTAACTGGAATAAAATTTGGTGCTTAATTATTGAATTGCTAACATGGTGTTGTCTGTATCTATCCCTCTACTTGAAACTGAAAGCTTTGGATTAAAAAAAAAAAAAAAAAAAAGGTCAAAGTGATTTATAATTTTTTTTACTATAGGTGGTGCTGTACTCACTGATGGGGGTATGGGAGTTATTCTGCCCCTCACAAGAGTGCCGGATGGTAAGATAGCAGAAAAAGCTCTGGAAGTCCTGATTAATCTAGGAAAACAGCAGAGTCTGAGGGAAAAGGTTGCAAGTTTGGGAGGCTTGCAGTGTTTGATAGGTAGTTATAGCACATCACAACCTTTTAAAAGTGTAACTGAGACATCTGGTAATATCTTTATTACCACTCTGAAACATCTGTTTTGTTAACCATGAAACATTTTGCCACTTTTTGTTATTAATAATGGTTGATCGAAATGTAGTATGTAACTGTCATGCCCTGTAGCCTGAAAACTTGAATTATTTTATAATCATGTGAATACCATTCATAGAAATAACTAGTCTTCAAAGAATGTATAGTCTGACGGTAATAATTTTTTTCTCACGACTAATGGGAACTAGATCATTTTGGCCTGTGTCAGTTCAATATGAAGGCCTACATTTTAATATATGATTATATTAAATATTTGAGACCTATTTTAATGATTTCATAGATATATGCCAAAGTTATATATCTGGTGCTGACCATGCCATGGATGAACAGGTGTTAGAGAAATGTTTGCTGACACTGAATAACCTGTTGTATGGAAATGCAGCCAACAAGAAGATGTTTACTGACTTGAAGGGTAACCTGTCTCCATTTTTTTACCCATAAATTAATGATGCATTAAATGTTTATATGTGCATTATATGCATCATTGTATAAAATTCAGCTCTTGAACAGATTCTGATCTGAGAAAAGTTTTGATTCTGATAAAATTTACACCATAATTCTCAGTGTTTATGTGTTAAATTTTACACATTCTTAATACAGCTCAAACAGTCAAAATGTATTATACATCCAAGTATGTATGATATATAAACAATATTTGTTTGGCACTAGCTGAATTTTTTTTTTTTTTTTTTGGTCATAACTAGCTTAAGACACACTTGGTGAGATAAAAGAATTCAGCTTGTGGAACATAATTATCATTTATGATCCAACCACCAAGCTCCTATTATGATCTATGTTTATAGGTATCCCAGCACTGCTGCAGTTGGAGTCTTCTCTAGATGACGGGAGTGTTAAGACCAAGCTGATGCAGGTCCTTCGAACCTTTACAGGCAGTGCCAACCTAAGGCAGCAAAGTGGGGACAGAAGAGTGGGAAGAGCCAGGGAAAGGTACAGTGGATTTGCTTTCTTATCTCTAGTGCTTTTTAATGAAAATATGTTACATATATATTTTTGACTTAATCATTATACAACCATTAGTTTTATTGTGTCATTGTATATAGAAATACACATTTTGGCTTGTTAGGTTTTCTTAAATTGAGTTAAGTTTTTTACCTTTTTAATGGTGTGGTGAACTTTGGGCCATGTTCCTGTAAAGTACTTTAATTGATTCAGAGTGTCCCATAAAAAGAGAATCTGTAGGATATTGCATTTTTTAAGTTGTTTGTTTTTTTGTTTTTGTTGTCTTTTGGGGAAACCCCACCTTAATACAGTTTGAATTTCTATATATATTGCTTAATAATTAAAATTTCTTATTTAACAGAATAAAAAGGAATACTGATGAAAAAGATCAAACAGCCCTACTTGACATTTGCCTTGCATCTCCGTCATCACTTGGGGAAGAAAGAGGGCGCAGCAGTAGCAGGAGTGGGCGGAGTTGTAGCAGAGAAAGACCAATCAGGAGAGGGAGGGGAAGTGACAGTGATCTTGAGAGAAAGCCAGCTCTGGGATCCCTATCCAGAAATAGGCTGTTACAGGTACATTGTACAATGTACTACTATTTTGGGTATTTAGGGCCATGTTGAAAGAAAAATGGGAATGGAACAAAAATGATTTGAACCATTTTTTAGCTGGCAGAAATCTTTCCAAGGTGAGCCTAGAGTATAACCCAACTTAACTGGCAAGATCACAATCTGTACTTTTCTCTACTGTACCATACTGTACGATGCCATCATAATATGACATATTATGCCATGCTGTAGTATGCCATGCCATGACTTACCATACTGTGTCAAGTCTTGCCATACCATGTCATGACTTGCTATGTCATGTCGTACAGCCATGACTTGCCATACCATGTCATGACTTGCTATGACTTGCTGTAGCATTCCATACTATGTAGTTCTTTGCCATTCTTTATCATGCCATGCCATGCCATGCCATGTCATGCCGTAACTTCATATGATTTTCTCTTACTGTACCATAATTTACTATATCTAATTCCAGGAGAGTTCCAGTGATGATGAGATATATGACTCTGCAGCCAGGACCTATTCCTCAGGAGAAGAGGCTGGAGGACTGCCAGTTATTGCATTGCCAGGTACGTTGTAACTTAGATTAAGTAGCTTTTATCAACATGTTCAGATCTGAGTCCCTGAATCCACTTTGGGTAAATTTTGAGAAATTTAAACTGGAAATGCAATTTTTTGTTGACTTGTAGACAAGCTCTCAGGGCTAATGTTGTTTTAAGGTTGCTGCTTTGTTGGGGAATATGAGAGAAAGGTATGGGAAATTTTTGTGCTGTTCATGAATTAAATTCTGTAAAGAAATGTTGTTTACAAATATTTATTTCAAACAAACCTGTAAGAAAATTACATTCTTCTCAAAAAGATGAATTTGTTTGTTTCAGACCCTAGCAAACCGGTGAATACTGCTACCTTGTATGAGCTCAGTGAAAAGAACTATTATATATTAGGTAAGGAGCATTTTATACATTATTTGATGGAAATTCAAAAAACATTTATTTTTATGTTTTTTAAATTCTGGGGAAATCACTATATATTAACATTATTGGTAAGAACCTTCAAGTAATAAATAACCAATAAAATATATTAAAATATTATATTTATCTCTCAAGACAATGACTTCAGTTGCAAACAGACATAAAGTTACATATCTGTAGCTATAATAATTTCATTTTTGAACTTTGAAAATTAACAATGTGAAGTGGTCCTGACAAAGTTATCAGGATATCAGGTAAATAGTTTTGCTGTAGGTCTTTAATATGTAGAACTTAAAAACTTTTACAAGTGCTAATACTATAAACTCATTTTCCAGGTCAGAAAGTCTCCTTCAAGCAAGATGATCTTCATGAGTTGAGGAGTACTAGAGACGTGAAAAAAGTGATGTTTAAAACTGTTGAGAAACTAATCTGTGGTTTTATGAATCAAGGTAAGAAATGAAAAATTGATACAATACACATGACATATCAGTGAAAGACTGATTGTGGCACATTTAAATTCAAATTAAATACAGAATCTGATGAGATGATGGCATATTCTAATTCAAGTGACAACGCAGAAAGTAGCTTTCACAGGCTAAGGTCAGACAAATTTGATAAGTTGGTTAACAACTGGGACTGATACTATGAGGAAACTTTATTATTATTTTTTTTACCTTTTGTATCACATGTTAAAAAACAAAAAGTGGCCACTTGCTAACCAACTGATCAATTTTGACTGGCCAAAGAATACCTTATAAGATGCAATACCACATTGTATTATCTTAATGTAGATCAGAAACTAAGAGCTATTTGTTCAAGCATGTGAAAACTCTGAGACTGTCAGGAACATGGCTATTAATAATTCTTAGGTGGACATCAAACATAATTATAAGATGAGAGTTAAGCTAGATGTATTTCTTTCTGTACTTCCATTCAGCAATCTCAAAAAAAAAAAAAAAAAAAATAGAAAAGATAAGAAAAAAAGAAGCTGAAGCTCTATAGGCTATCATCAATGAAGTGAAGTTTATAAAAATTTGTTCTGTCATCAGCAATTCACATGATCAAAACTGCATTATGTCGTCAAATTCCCTAGTTTATTATCATGGGTTTAATGTTCCAGTTGTTGATGAAGCCACCGTTAAGCTATGGATACAATCACTAGCTAAAACACTGGCTGGCGACATCACCACAGCAGGTTTGGTAAAGTCCCACTTGTGTTACAGGTTACATATATAGAAAATAACTTGATTACTTCCAGGAAAAGGGGGCCATATTTACTTTGGCATCGACACAAACAGCCTGGTGCAGGGAATCAGGATATCCCGCGATGAGAGAGACCGTCTGCGCGTCGGACTGGATGACATCATGAAGAGGTTCACGCCCGTAGTGAGCCACGCCATGTTTGAGGTGCTGTATTCTCAGGTGGTTCAGTCAGACGGCCATGATAACCCACAGACACGGAAACCAGTGAAAGACTTCTGTGTCATAGGTGGGTGGATACATTCAAGGCTGGGTCTTTGAAGTCCTGGTGATTTGGTTGAATAAGTGATTGATACTGATGATGAAAACAGAAGTTGCTGTAACCAGTTTAATAACCCTGTAATATTTTTCATAAAGTAAAACAGATTGCAGACTTTTGTATATCAGATATGTTCATACTTCAAAAAAATTATTTAAGCAATGATCCATGCTCATTGTCATGGAATGTGTAATACATGCTAAAGTACTTAGAGAAACCACTTGGGAGAAGTGGTTGAAGCTTGTTTGTTTTATATTAATTTTCTACCCTTTTCATGGTGCCATATCTACTACAACAGTCAGCAGGGAAATCCTTCAAGATGTAGGATATCTTAACATCACAAGCATGGAAAATATTGTCTTGTATTTTAGTGACATTTAGGATGTGACTCAGATCAGTTGTTCCCACTTCGTATGATTCTTGGCCTTTTACTTAATTACTGCTGTCAGTCTTCTCCTAAAAGGTATTCAGGCACAGTGCTAGGTGGGGTTTCAGGGCTGGGTTGGAAGGACCGCCTTTTCAACTGCCAAAATGGTTGGCTCTGAATCAAAATTTGATGTGGATTCTATTCCATTTTTGAAGTTGAGTCAGCTAAGTGAGTGAAAGTGTCCACATTTTCAGAACTCCTCTTTGAGATTACTGGCCTGATACTACTACACTGGACATTTACCAGGTGCAAGTTTTTTTTTTTTTTTTTTTTTTTTTCACAGTTGGATTTTGGTTTCCCCTCTTTACATTTTATCTCTGATGATCTTTCTCCTTATGTTTGACTTAAATCAAGGTGAAAGTGATACATATGTAACCATGCAGTTTTATCTAGTAGCAATTGGTTCTTATCTTTGTATTGTTGTCCTATTTCCAGAGTTGAGACTGTCCAAAGCTGGGGATATCTTTCTGACCTCAGACGAGAGGTGTTTTTTGAGGGTAGAAGGGAAAACCAAGTCTTTATACACACAGGTATGCCAAGGATATTAAGAAAGGGAGAGCTGCCGCAGAGGAGTTTTATGCGTTAGAAAGGCCTACGTTTGACAGAATAGCTTCTCCCTCCACCACCCCCCCTTGCTCTGCGTTTCTTTTTATTTATGAAATACTTATCTTAAGAACTACATTAGAAATATAAACTTTTAGAGCACAAACTCTGTTTTATTGCTTTATAATTCTCTACCCCAGGTGCTTCTGCGCATAGGGTGGCCAAGTGTTTATCATTCATTTTGCTGTCTTTTAATTTGTGTGATAAATGTAATGATCAGTTTCTAATGTAACTCTAAGACCCCATTCCCAGAGATTAGATCAATCCAACTAGATTGACCTAACTCCCTGGGGGTTCATGCCAAATAGCTGTCGGCCGAGCGGGCACGAAAGTTAATTACCCCCTTACAGTTTGTAGTAGCGGGACGGACATTTAAGTCAGATTATCTGACAGTAATCTAGTGAGACTCCCCACAGGGATAGATCGATCTAAAATCTATGGGAATGCACCCTAAAAGATATTAAAATACTATTGTGGGTGGTGATACAGGTCTGAACAACATTCCAGTGCCAGCCTGTGGTTTGGACTCTTTCTGTTTAGGAGATATGAGCCCTTAATTAAGCTTATCCATTATGCAAAGGGTTTCACCACTTCCCTGATAAAATCAGAAGTAAGCCTTTCAAGAAAATTAACTGGCACCAGATTCTAGCAGTCATGTTGTGATTTAATAGGTGTTATAATTGTGTTGATAGCTGTGTGGGTGAGGAATATCTGTTTGAAAGCAATCTTCTGCTGCTGTTATGTCATCAGCTAGGAATTGGCTAATTCGCCCAATGTCTTTGTGATGCAACATCATCTTCCCATAAGCACTTTGACAATGTTTATATCCACATTATCTATTTGGATGAGGAAAAAAATTACGCATACAAAACCCTATTTATTTAGATCCTCCACCAAGCAATAATGAGTACACAAAATATACATCTGTGGGGCTAAGTGTGCCTTGCCTTTGATTTTTTAAGAGAAATTCTCTGGAGGGGGGGTGGGGTGGCCTTCTTCTTTGTATGGTCTGTATGCTCCAAAGAGACTACACATCTTTGCCAATTAGGCAATTAACAAAAACCATAATTGACACTTGGATTGTTTTGTATTAGTTTGAAGCTTCAAGGATAATCGTCTAATTTGATAGCATTGATTACGTGTAAACAGTATATCAGCTTAAATTTTGTATAAGACAGGCAGTTCCAGTTTGCTTTTCCCAGGATATTTAATTACTGGTAATTTGATTGCAGTGTGCATTTTGTAGTCGGTCGAAGCTGGTGCCTTAGAGAAAAAACGAATTAAAAACAGAGCTGTTATTTAGTAAATCCGTTTTTTAAACAGCTCAATCTACTGTGCGGGTGTTTTTTTCCAGGAAATCCGTGAACTGATTGTATCCAGAGAAGAAAGGAAATTCAAGGCCGAGATGGAGCGACTTCTAGAACTTGGCAGAACTTTGAGAATGCACTTGGGTTTCTCGGAGGCCAGTGGAGGTCAATGTCCATAAGCCAGTTAACCTGTTAGAACTGCTATCTGTTGTATGTGTCCCAAGATTGATGCGATCAAGGGATGACTTGTTGAAAAAAAAATCGTTAAATTTCCTTACTCACGATGTGTTGATACGGCCGATGGGTACCCTCTGATGCCTGGTACTTCTAAAATAGTATACAAAATTAAAGATACAATAGTTTTGTAATAGACTACTATCAAACCCTGCGTTCAGAGAGTAGCCGCTGGGTGTTTGAGTAATTGGCATAAGGTGACAGTTATTTATTCTATTCTTTTAATCCCCTAACCATCTGCTATTCCACGAATAGCGAAGTGAAAAAGAAGACTAAAAATTTGTATTTTTCAGAGATATGAGTCCCTCTTGGCTGATGATCACGACGCCTCCTTTATTGTGATGTTGCGGAGCAGTTAATAATTTTTTGACGGAATAGCTAGATTTTAAGAGAGTTAAACTGAAAGAAAAATTGAAAAAAAAAAAAACATTTAAAACTTTTTATAGAATATTTGTTAGATAAGTTCTTCCATTTTATTCAATAAATACGATTATTGAACGTGTGTTTTCACATGTACAGATGTGTTGTTTGTTATTTAAACTGATGGTGCTGCCAAAACAATTTTAGAAATGATAAATAGTGATTGATACAACTGATCATTTTTGATATCAAATGATATTATATCCGTAACAGTAACGACGGTTAGAGAGAATTCTTCGTACTGCGTTTTGTCATGTCTCGAGAAAAATCTCGAAGACATAAACTGAAGATGCAGGGCGTCTGGAATATGGCAGGGCTAATGCGAAGACAAATGATGTATGCGTGTTTTACAGCATTATTTAATTAACCAAGACAGGGGAATAGGACCAAAGCACACCGATTAATTTACTATTTCATAGTCTCGACTCGAGACACTGGTTGAATGATGACTAAAATGTCTAAAGCCTTTGCTTAGGTATATAAGGTACTGGGTAGAAAGAGGTTGAATAGAAATGGAGAAATACGTGGCGAGATTTTTGGCTGGACAATCCAAAATTAAAAAAAAATATTTTGAAAGATCGACTGTGCACAGTATTTGAAAATATAAAATAAGATCCGGTGAACCTGGCCGAAGCAATAATAAATGAGAGCGCTTTCAAAATAATTTCATGTTTTCCCCGCCAGTGATACACCATTGGGATTTTAGACAAAGGGGATTGTGTTTGTCATCCGTATAAGAGCGTGCTGCATGCTGGCACGAGATGGCACGTTACGTTGTTTAAGAATTTTTTCAATTGCCATTCACTTGTTCAGTAAATAATTGATGTTGAAAAGACTGGTCTCAGATGAAAAGACTGATATTTACTTTGTAGGATGACACTCTGCGTCAAACTGCTCTCAGTTGACTAATTAAAACTCGCCGATTTATGTGGTAAAAAATCTTTATTATAAAGATGATATGCAATTTGACGTCACGTCGATAACTTATGTGTCTTTTTGACTTGAAGATTTTACGAGCTCGGAGCTCCAGAGAGGACAAAAGAAAAAAAAAAAAATAATACTATAGGAAGCCAGTCAATGTTTGTGGGGTTCAGCGGATTGTCTCCTTTTATCTTTAGGTACGGTATTGACTGCACATATTCTCGTCTCCGTTGTCTGAAGTCAGTGTCATGTACGAGTCCCTTGAGATACAAGCCCCGCTTCCCATCGATTTTTACAGGTAAGCCCTGCCAAGGATCCTTATCCTTTTACATCATTACATCATGCTAACCCTAACCTGTAAGAATCTAATGGGAGAGGAGGGGAGGGGGGGCAAACACTGTTACGTGGACCATCAGATGCTTAACACCATAGCTGGTGCCGTACACATTTTTTCGTTACCTAAAACAGGCCAATTTTGTTTATAATTTACAGCGGTGATCCCGCTTTTTATACTTACCAGCGCATGCCTTCTACTGTCTTTTTTAAATGGTTGCATAAGTTCTGCATAACTTCATGCATGTACACGTAAGACTGAAAATCAGGGCTTTTATTTTTGGCCCAAACAAATGGCCCATTTGAAACTGGCATAATATGTTGTTATGCAGCGAATTGTCAACATTAGCCAAGTAATGTACTGTGAAGTGACACAAGAGCAATTTTCCCGGTTTGTAGGCGTCGCTTTAAGAAAAGGTCTCCGGAAGCTCATCACGAAGTTCATCTTGCTTAGTTTGTTTATTGTACCAGTCCATCCTTGCCGCATCAGGATTTGGAAGCAAACCAACAATATAATCGTAAAATTACCATGATTGCCCTGAGTAAAAAGTTGTTATTTTTCTTTGATTTGATTCTAAAAGAATCACGACGGCGAAGAAGGCCACTAATATAATTTATAAAATCAATTTTTAGTATTAATTTGATTTAGTGCGACTTGGTCGATCTGATTCTTAGACAGCCTATAGAGGCTTTTAGGACTCAGCAGACACGCTTCTTGGAACTTTTTTTCGAAATTAGTGATCGACCAAGAAGCTGCTTTAGGCTAACAAATGCTGAAAACCCAAACCCATATGTGAAAGACCGAATATTTGGAGCCCAAGCCTTGTAAATTAGTCTGTTTTTATTGGAAATGAGACATTGCTTCATTGCAACTATCGAACCACTAGGGTGCAAACTCCACTTGCTTTTGGGCAAGATTTCCTAGCAATAAGATATATTTAGATTGCTTTTAACACTTGAGTCCCTGGATAGCTAAAAAAAAAAAAAGAGAGAAAAAAGAAAGCAAAACAACATAACATATTGGCAATGGCATATTTCTACATTTTGTTCTTTCACGAGTACGCCAAACATGGCCGATGTAAAGCCTATAATGGTACTGGTCTAGGAATATGCAGCAAAATTACGTTGACTGGCATATTTTTTGATTCTCTTATGTTACCCCGTTTGCCATTTGGGACCCTAACCCTCCGCCAATGCCATCACCCCAAACCTGCTTTCCAAGTAATTCCACTTCTCGTGACTTTGGTACAGAAGAAGGTTCCAGCAAATTGAATTACTGGCACCGGTTCATTTAAAATATGGCCGCCTGGTGACGTATTTTGCACCTTAACCGGTTTAGGAAGATTGCATTACACGTGCCCGTTGATGCATTGTACATAGTTCGTTCATCAATGGGTCGTGTTTTTTTGTTTTTTTTTTCTTGAAAGAAAATCTTAGTTCTCTGCTCACTCCAAGTACTGTTGGAGCCAACGCCCGCTCGTTGAATGTTCAGGCCCGTAGCCAGCAATTACAAAGGGGGGGTTCTTTTTCTGAAAAAGTGGACCTTTTACCATATAATTCCCATGTACCTAAGTCAAATTTTACCCAGAGTGGACCTTTTTCCAGCAAAAAGGGGGGTTCTTTCGAACCCCCCGAACCCCCCCCCGGCTACGGGCCTGATGTTCATTTATTTATTATTATAATTTTTAATGATATATTTTATGATGGTTTTAGAGCAGTTATGCTACAATTTGTTTTGACCTCCGTATATCACTAATAAATCGAAATTTACCGTTGCTGATACCAGTTATCTCAAGGCCATGGAAATATTATGGGAGATGTGCATCGCTATTATCTTAGTTATCAGACCTACAAAACCAGATCTAGACAAGTTATTTTGGACTTAAGGAGAGATAAAAGATATGCTATTCTGAGATATGCTGCCAAATAACACAATTTCAGTACTCTAAGGTAAAAGAAAATTTTGTTATTTTTTGTGAGCGTATTTGGAAAATCGTATTAGTAAATGGGATTGTTTCGGAAAATGTGATTATTTTGGCGTAAAATAAAGAATATGACACCTCAAACAAAGCCTAATTGGCATTGGTTCCAGGCGTACTTAATGCTCGAGTGTTTTTCAAGGATTGATTATTCAAGCGTAAAACAAAGAATGTAACATCTCAGAATAGTACGAAAATGGAAATGCTTCCAGGCATTCTAACATGGACAAGCGAAAGTTTATGTTCATGGACTCCAAGCTTTCTTTGAGCTATTATGTAAAAATGAATTTTTGTAGCGTTGCATTATTATATTCCTTCAAGCTTTAATTTCTTATTCATTTTGCTGTTATCTACACTGTATCCTACGCTATTATCGTCACCGTTTATTATTCCTGTGTTAGAATTCTAGGCATCTGATTGGTCACTTTTCATGCACTATGGTAACCAGCTGATGATGATTGTTCAAATATTGCTTGTCACATAATATTTCTACATCAAGTGGTATACATCAAACTTATCTTCCTGTGATTATTTTTCATCACATTTAAAATATTTTTAGCACTTTTGATTGTTTTTGATCATTTTTATTTTAGATATTCTAATTTTTAAATAATATATTATCAATCACGTAACGAATAAAAACCAAAAGGCTTTAATTTATACCTTGTTGGTTTATCAGTATATAACAAAGCAAACAGAGCACAACCCCTCGTGAACTACAAAGCGTAGCAAGGGCACAGTCACAGGAAATAGGACCCTCGGCTTCAGAGTACACAGGGGAATGTGCGCCATTTGTTTATTATTACAGGAATAAACTAAACTAAACTAAAAGGATTCTAGTTCCGAAACGTTGTTTTGTAATTATAATCTAAAACCAAATGAAAATTTTGTGTAGATTTTGTGGTACAAAATGCATATCTTCTTTACTGTAGAAATTCCAATTTATACTAGTATCAAAAAAGGAACAGATTTCCAGAGGTGTCAACTTAGTGACTCCTTCTGAAGAAAGATTGCGTGTTTATTTTAGTACAAATAGTCGCACTGAAAGTACGGTTCAGTGATCTCTTCACTAAATGTGTCCCTCGATAGTCTAAGAGGTTACATTCTACACTGCGTTGACTTTTGCCTTTCGTGTGCTAGCCTTGTAATCACAGTTCATTTCAACATCGCTTACACGGATCACACGTTATTGACATATTAACTGACGATAAACATGACCAATACTCTAACCCCCTCACAGAATCCATTACTTAACGTGCACCTGATACTCTACCGCGTCTTTCTTTTTCACCAGATAATGTGGACATACACACAATATCTGGTTTTCTAGTCAATCCGGGCAACCTCACACACGTACTAATATT